GTCTCTGTCACCGGACTGGCCCCTTTCAGAAGGAGTGGGGCCCAGTGTACCTGTGACTGAACCTGCTGCCCTGCTGGGCTCAAGGGAAGGCTCCTGGGCCCTATAAAAGGGGAGACAGACAGCAGGCTGGGAAAGCTGGCTGCCCACTGACCCCGCCACTACTTTTGGATGCCATGCGTTGCCAGCAGGGAGCACTACAAGGCAGACACATCCTGTGACAGTCCCCTTCCCCTCAGGCCAAAATTGCTGACCCACATCAACAAAACAGACTCCCCTGGGTCTCGCAGTGTGGATTCTGTTGTCTGTTTGGGCTGCGGGTTCTTCAGGGCAGGGGTGGTCTTCCCCTGTGTCTTTGTACTTAACAAATAACAAGTGCCATTCTCTCTAGGGCGGTATGAAATCAAATGCCCCAAGCCTGGGCCTGGAATGCAGTGTGTGCCTGGCCATTTGCAGTTATCCAGTACCCAAGGGAATTTGTCACAAGGACAGAGGGGCTGAATTTCTCTGCCGGGGACATGGCAGCCTTCACTGGCTATTCTAACTTGTGTGATGTTGCTGGGCGTGGTTCAACATTTGCCACCCATCACCACAGAGGTGGCTGCATTTCAGGGAACGGTGAAGCGATCCTGTAATTAGAGACCTGGTGGTTAGCAGATGCCTGGTGCTTAGTGTGGTTTTGGGGCTCTGGGAAAATGACAAAGCAAGAGTAAATTGGACCCTCCATCAGAATGTGGTGTTAGCCTGGCCTTGGCTTGCTAATTTTTTCGTCGTTTAGGCCTAGACTGTACCATATGTAGACACGCTGAGTGGTATCTTCCTGTGCAAGTAGAACCACCGAAATAAACAGGACTCTGTTATTATTTTTATTATTATTTATTTTATTCATATCTCAATGCCTGGAGCCCCATCAAAGATCACAAACACATGGTGAGAGGTAGACCCTGACCTGCAAAACTTAAACAGAAAAGAAAGGGTGGGGAAGAGAGGGGCATTATCTCCATTTTACAGATGGGAAACTGAGGCCCAGAGAGTTTAAGGCCAGATCTTCAAAGGTAGTAAGGTGGCTTGAGATTTAGACACCCAAGAACGAAAGAATGGCCATTCTGGGTCAAACCAATGGTCCATCCAGCCCAGTATCCTGTCTCTGACAGAGGCCAGTGTCAGGTGCTTCAAAGGGAATGGGCAGAACAGGGCACTCATCAAGTGATCAATTCCCTGTTGCCCATTCCCAGCTTCTGGCAAAGAGAGGCAAGGGACACTTCAGAGCATGGTTTTGCATCCCTGCCCATCCTAGCTAATAGCCATTGCTGGACCTATTCTCCATGAACTTATCTAGTTCTTTTTTGAACCCTGGTATAATCTTGGCCTTCACAAGATCCTCTGGCAAAGAGTTCCACAGGTTGACTCTGCGTTGTGTGAAGATGTACTTCCTTTTGTTTGTTTTAAACCTACTGCCTATTTATTTCATTTGTTGACCCCTAGTTCTCGTGTTATGAGAAGGAGTAAATAACACTTCCTTATTTACTTTCTCCACACCAGTCATGATTTTATAGACCTCGATCATATCCCCCATTAGTCATCTCTGTTCCAGGCTGAAAAGTCCCAGTCTTATTAATCTCTCTTCATATGAAATCTCTTCCATACCCCTAATCATTTTTGTTGCCCTTTTCTGTATCCTTTCCAATTCCAATATATCTTTTCTGAGATGGGGCGACCAGATCTGCATGCAGTATTCAAGATATGGGCGCACCATGGATTTCTATAGAGGCAACATGATATTTTCTGTTTTATTATCAATCCCTTTCCTAATGATTCCCAACATTCTGTTCACTTTTTTGACTGTCGCTGCACATTGAGTGGATGTTTTCAGAGAACTATCTACAGTGACTCCAAGATCTTTCTTGAGCAGTAACAGCTAACTTAGACCCATCATTTTATATGTATAGTTGGGATTATGTTTTCCAGTGTGCATTATTTTGCATTTATCAACACTGAATTTCGTCTGCCATTTTGTTGCCCAGTCACCCAGTTTTATGAGATTCCTTTGTAACTCTTCCCAGTCTATTTTGGACTTAACTATTTTGAGTAGTTTTGTATCATCTGCAAATTTTGCCACCTCACTGTTTGCCTCTTTTTCCAGATGATTTATGAATATGTTGAACAGTACTGATCCCAGTACAGACACCTAGAGGACACAATTATTTACCTCTCTCCATTCTGAAAACTGATCATTTATTCCTATCCTTGGTTTCCCATCTTTTAACCAGTTACCCATCCATGACAGGACCTTCCCTCTTATCCCATGGCAGCTTACTTTGTTTTAAGAGCCTTTGGTGAGGGACCTTGTCAAAGGCTTTCTGAAACTCTAAGTACACTATATCCACTGAATCCCCCTTGTCCACATGCTTGTTGACTCCCTCAAAGAATTCTAGTAGATTGTTGAGACGTGATTTCCCTTTACAAAAACCATGTTGACTCTTCCCAAACAAATCATGTTCATCTATGTGTCTGATAATTCTGTTCTTTAGTATAGTTTCAACCAATTTGCTGTTACTGAAGTCAGGCTTACTGGCCTGTAATTGCCGGGATCACCTCTGGAGCCTTTTAAAAAAATTGGCATCACATTAGCTCTCCTCCAGTCACCCGGTGCAGAAACTGATTTAAATGAGAGGTTACAGACTACAATTAGTAGTTCTGCAATTTCACATCTGAGTTCCTTCAGAACTCTTGGGGGAATACCATCTGGTCCCGGTGACTGATTACTGTTTAATTCATCAATTTGTTCCAAAACCTCCTCTAATAACACCTCAGTCTGGGACAGTTCCTCAGATCTGTCACCTAAAAAGAATGGCTCGGGTTTGGGAATCTCCCTCACATCCTCAGCCGTGAAGACCGATGCAAAGAATTCATTTAGTTTCTCTACCATGGCCCTATCTTCCTTGAGTGCTCCTTTACCATCTTGATCATCCAGTGGCCCCACTGGTTGATTAGGAGGCTTCCTGCTTCTGATGTACTTAAACATTTTTTGCTGTTACTTTTTGAGTCTTTGGCTAGCTGTTCTTCAAATTCTTTTTTGACCTTCCTGATTATACTTCCCTACACCTACATACCTTTGAGACTCTGGACCTGATTGACTTGCCCACGGCCATCCAGGCGCAGCCGGGAATTGAACGCAGATCTCCTGAGGCATGGGGCTGTGCCTTCCTTCCTGTTGTGGCATAGGGTGGGCCTCAGTCCTGAGTAAGGGTGGCAGACGCTGGCCCCTTGCAGCGGTGATAGTCTGGATCCAGGTTGCTATGTAACTAGAAGATCGCTGTTCTCCTGATGCTGGCCAGCACATCCGAGTAATATATTTGTGATGGGACCCGTTTCTCCATGTTAAAATAAACTAGTGAGCCGATAACTCGGGGGCCGGAGAAGGAGGGGCATTCTGCTTGTTACACATTTACCACCCGAGCCCTGGCAATGAAGGAGAGTTTCTTTACACGTTCCAAAAAGACTTTGCTCTTCAGTTATTCATGGCTCATGAGCAAAACATTAGCATCACGTTTAGTTTTGTAGGGCTATAAAAAAAGTGTATTAAAAACACTAAACAATTGGCTTTTTATGGTAGCGTTATTTTGGTAGTAATTCGATCCCTAGATAAGACCGATTCTATCCTGGGCCCTGTAAAGTGCAGTGAAAGCCCTGAATGTAAATCAGTGACAGCTGCAAAACAGCTCCTGCCCCTCCCTCTGCAGCCTTGTCATTCTAAATATCTTCATGCTCTGATGGTTTCCATGTATCAAGACTTTGTTAATAATACTTGTCCTTTCTCTAGCTCCTATTCCATTCTAGTCTGGTTTCTGTGTCTGAGGATCTCAAAGCACTTTCCAAATAGTAACTAAGTCTCACAACATCCCTTTGACACAGGTGTTATCTCTCATTTTACAAGTGGGGAAACTGAGGCACAGAAGCATGCAAGTAAACGTATCCACTAATTTTGGAGGTCTCAATTTTAGGGTTCCCAAACTGCGACACACTCCCGCCTGACTTTCAGTCGTCGTAAACACCTGCAAGTCCAATTGACCTCTGGGGATGCTCAGCACTTCTGAAAATCAGCCCCCAGCTGTGTGGAATTTCCAGAGGTGCTCAGAGTTGACTCAGCTGTGTGTGCATCATCACTAAATACATTTGAAAATCCAATTCCATGTGACTGGGCCAAGCTGTCGCTGGAGGTCAGTGACAGAGCCAGGAATACAACCCAGGAATCTTGACTCATTATCACTTGCTTTACCCACTGGACAGCACTTCCTCCCTTCCTAAGAATGTTTGGATTGCTTAACAGATAACCGCAAATTAACTGTCATATTTTAAACTAAGTGCCCCAAATTCATTTAACTACAGTATTTGCACTTAATTTAAATATAATGAGATTATGTGCTGTATGTTCCAAAATGTAAAAAAAAATACCCAGGGAAATATTTTTCTGAGGTTTAACAATGGTGTAAGAGAGCTATATCTCTTTAGACTACCATAACACCTCAATAAATACGTTTTTGTAGTCAGTTGCTGTTTAAAATTTGTTAACTCTCTTATTAAATTTAGAGAAATTTATCTAGTTGCCATAATTATTGTATGCGAATTAGATACCAATTAATTATTTAAAACCTATTTACTGAGGGTAACAAAACTTATAAATCTGTCACGGAGCTGTTAACCTCGATAAATATTTTTAAAATAATCAACGGGCATGTGAGTAACATACAGTAACTATCTCATTATATATATATATAAAATCCTGAGAGGAGACAGTTAATTTAAAGCATGACCAAATTGCTCATGACATGGTAATTAAGCATTTACCGTGCATTATAGATCTGCCATGAAACCCAGTTTTTCATGGTATAGCAGGAAGATTTGGAAAACGTCCTTCAGTCAGGACTATCTGGGAATTGGGGAAGTGGATGAAAACAACATTGATTGACATGGGTCAACTGATTGTCCTTCTTTCTCTCAAGCCCCTCACACGATGAGGAGTACACGCCACCACCCCCATCCCGGGGGAAGAAAAAGAAAAAGAAATCTACACGTAAGAAGAGGAGGAGGTGAGTTCAGAGAGGGGGAAACCCCACAGACCGGTGGCTGCTCAGATCCCAGGCAAAGGAAAAATATCTCCCCGGTTAGGTGACAGCTGGGAGAGCATGTGATCTGACAGGAAAGACTCTGTTCGCTCCTAGGAAGGAAAGGAATTATTTAGCATGGTTCCTGGAGGTATAACGAGGAGCAATGGGGTGAAATTAAGAGAAGGCAAAAAAAGCTGAATATCAAGTTAAACTTCCTGACAGTGAAATCGCCATGGAATAGCCTCCCTACAAGAAAACAGGGGAAGACCCATCTCATGGTTCTTTTAAAACTAGACTGGGCCAGACACTAGGAGATGGATCAGAGGGCACGGTTCTGCACTTAGCACCCATATAGGGCTTTAGGCCCAGACCCACAAAGGTATGTGGACTCCTAACTTACAAAGCCCTGGCTGGGATGATTTAGTTGGGGATGGGTCCTGCTTTGAGCAGGGGGTTGGACTAGATGACCTCTTGAGGTCCCTTCCAACCCTGAGATTCTATCATTCTATGGTTTCAAATGAAGTGCAAATTAAGAGTGTGCCCCTGTGTTTTTTGCCTATCTAATATATGTTACTTTCAGGGGGACTTCCTGGTACCTGTTCTGTTCTGTTAAGGTCGTTCTACCAGGCCCATCCCCAGGGCGTCTGAACACCTTGATCTTGGCATCGCAGCAGGACTCAGACCTATCACCTTAAGCCAGCAACTACAGGGCAGGGCTGCGCTGCCAGGACCTAAAGCTCAGGGATAAGCTTTGTGTGAAAAGTCAGTGCCAGGAGGTGGCAGCAATGCAAGGCTGTGCCTGCTCCAGCAGCCTTGAGATGGGAAATTCCACCCAGCACAGTCAGCTGCACTAACATCTGCTGAAATAAATGTGACATCTTCATTGCAATCAAACCAGGCAGAAATCCAGAGCCTGGGTTTGCATTTCAACATATTGCTAGAGGGGAAGCGCCCCCTGATTAAAAAAAGGCCAGAGAGAGCTGTGAAAAAATAAATCTGCTTTTCAGAACTGCCATTCTCTGACTGCCTGTGAACATAGCCAACCACGGCAGCGTGGTCTAGATGAAATGACTATAAAGTGGGTGCACAACTGGTTGAAAGACCGTACTCAAGGAGTAGTTACCAATGGTTCGCTCTCAAACTGGGAGGACAAGTCTAGTGGGGTCCCACACATCAGTCTTGGTTCTGGTACTAATCAACATTTCCATAAATGACTTGGATAATGGAGTAGAGAGTATGCTTATAAAATCTGCAGATGACGCCAAGCTGGGAGGGGTTGCAAACACTTTGGAGGACAGGATTAGAATTCAAAATGAGCTCGACAAATTGGAGAATTGGTCTGAAATCAACAAGATGACATTCAATAAAGAGAAGTGCAAAGTGCTACACTGGGGGAGGCAAACTCAAGTGCACAGTTGCGAAATGGGGAATAACTGGCTAGGGGGTGGTACTTCTAAAAAGGATCTGGAGGTTATAATGGTTCACAAATTGAATATGAGTCAACAACAGGGTGCAATCGCAAAAATATCATTAATCAATAATATCATTCTGGGGCGTATTAACCGGAGTGTCATATATAAGACATGGGAGGTAATTGTCTCACTCTATTCAGCCTTGGTGAGGCCTCAGCTGGAGTACTGTGTCCAATTCTGGGTGCCACACTTTAGGGACAAATTGGACAGTGTCCAGAGGAGAGCAACAAAAGTGAGAAAAGGTTTAGAAAACCTGACCAATGAGGAAAGGTTTAAAAAACTGAGCATGTTTAGCCTGGAGAAGAAGATTGAGGTGGTACCTGATAAGTCTGCAAATATATTAAGGGCTATCATAAAGAGGACGGTGATGAATTGTTTTCCATGTCTGCTGAAGGTAGGACAAGAAGTAATTGGTTTAATCTGCAACAAGGGAGATTTAGATGAGAAATCAGGTAAAACTTTTAACTACAGGGGTAGCTAACCTCTGAAATAGGCTTCCAAGGGAGGTTGTGGAATCCCCATCATTGGAGGTTTTAAAGACCAGTTTGGACAAACACCTGTCAGGGATGGTCTAGTCCAATCTCAGTGCAGGGGCTTGGACTAGAGGACCTCTCAAGGTGCCTTCCAGTCCTACATTTCTATGATTCTGTAAATATTGGGACCCAGGAAAAGTCAGTGCTTGGATCCCAGCCTGGTTCAGTCAGATGCTATACAAGCTTCCCCCAGATCTATTAATACACTTTCACCTCCCTCCCCCCATCCCCAGCATCCCTGCCCTCCAGACAAGGGGTCTGACTCCCCACCACCACATTTCAGGGCTCAGCAGTCAGTGTGTGACCCCCTCCTCTGCAAACTGTCATGCCGGCTGTGGCAGCCCTAGGGATCAGACTCGCATTGAGGGGAAAGAGACCAAGAACTGGCGTGTGCATTTGAGGAGGGAACTAGGGCAATGGCCAGGGAAGGGGGATTGTGTATGTGCTACAGCCAGGGCTGTAGCAGAGCGGGATCCCCTGAGTTCAGGGGAGAAGGTTGCGGGGGGGTCAATGCAGTAACTGCGGGGACAGCACTGAGTTCTTTAGGCTGTTCTCAGCACAGAGCTCCCAGTCAGCATGAAGCTGCTCATACCCCCACCACACAGTGCTGGAGTTTGAGCACTAACATTTCTGTCGGGCCATGGTGGGGTGTGGGCACCCGGGACCAAAAGGGACCCTGCTGCAGCAGGTTGGGCAATGTTCTCTGATTCTCACAAAGCTCAGCCCAAACCTGCAGCCCTCTGGGCCTCCCCTGCATGTTGCCTGGCAGCTGTGGCAAATTCAGGGATCTTTCGTGATGGGAACAACACCTGCCAGGGAGGGAATGCATTTTCGCTTGTCCTCTAAGCAAGGATCGGAATGCAGGTCTCCCGAGTGAAAGGCTAGTGTGGTAAACCCCTGTGTCCCCAGACACTCACCCCAGCAGACAGACTCCTCTGGCTCGGGGCACCACATGCCCAGTAAGTAACATGTTGTCGCTGTTCCCCAGGTCTCCATCGTATAGCCCCTCGCCTGTGAAGAAGAAGAAGAAGAAGAAGAAAAGCTCAAAGAAACGAAAAAGAAACAGGTATTCCCCCTAAAACTCTCCGCCCCGAGCTCAGCGCACACTCCTCCCCAGGCACTGAACGCAAGGCGGTTGAGTGCAGCTGGGTGGTTTTCGTTAGAAGGAGGCTTAGAGGTAAAGCGTATCCATGCTGCTCAGCCCCACTGCCTGGGCAATGTTGGCCCCTGGGGGGATGGCCAGTGCAACGCCTATGCACGCCTTAACTCCCACTTAACCCTGGGCTAAAGTGGGACATAAGAGGTGCGTGGGAGTCCCTGGAAGGGATCCTGGCTGACCGAGAAAGGGAGCTCCCGCTGCAATGGGATCTCTGACACCCTTATCACCCCACCCACTCTCAGGAAGTTAGTACCCGCATTGGCCCTAGCAGGGAGCAACACCTGTGCTCTTCCAAAGGGTTGTGCAAAGGGCAGAGAGCTGCCAGCTCTCCCTCCCTCTCTTCCCTTGCAGACCTTGCTGGGCTCGGCAGAATTCAACTTTTTTCTCCGGGGGCTTTGGCGTTGACACGTGGGCTGTCCGCATCACTCACCAAACGATTGTGTCTGCCTGTCCGCAGACAGCGCTGGGCCAGGTTTCTTTCATAGCCATTGGCTTGTTTGGTTTGTTCCCCCTTTTTAAATGGAAGCTTAAATTTGGCAGAATTCTGGGACCAAGCAGCTGTAATGCAGCCTGCACGTGCCAGCTCAGCCCGACTGCTCGCGTGCGGTCCCTCAGCCCGACTGCTCGCGTGCGGTCTCAATGCCAGACCATTGAAACCTGCCCAAGTGTCACCCTACACAACGCAAGGAGGTGCAAATGCTCATGCGGCAGCATTCTGATGTCCTGGGGGTGGGGGCTCTAGGAAAGGATGGAAGGCAAGGCCTAAACTCAAAGGCAAGATTTATAGGAAACCCTCTGAGGCCAAACCATTGAGTTTCCCATGGCGCTAGTCGTCTGTCATCCCATTTCCATCCTGCTTTATTCCTAGCTCAATCAGCCTCAAAAGAACCCAAATATTGGAACCAGAGATGGGCTCAAACAGAAACTCCATGTGCCAAACTCAGCCCCCCCTCGTCCAGCCCAAACATTTAGAACAGCTCAGGTGCACATCTACTTCTGAACGTCCCAGCAGGCATCTCTCTCTCCAGCAGGCCAGAAGCAGATCTGAATGCCTTCAAAGCAGGAGGCCTGCGCTGAGCTGGACCTAGCTCCAAACTGGCTAGCTTGGGCCCATCTCTAATCAGTGGCGGATTAAAGATTTTGCCGCCCCTAGGCCCTGAAATAATTCTTGCCCCCCCCACCCCCACCCCAGCTTACCTCCTCTCCGCCTTCGCCTCCTCCCCTGAGCGCGCCGCCGGGTCCTGCTTCTCCCCACTCCCTGCCAGTGCTTGTGCACGAAACAGCTTCGCGAAGGAGGCGGGAAGAGGGGGTAACGCAGCGCGCTCAGGAGAGGAGGCAGGGCCGGGGCGGGGATTTGGGGAAGGGGACCAATAGGGGCAGGGAGGGGGCAGGGAAGGACTAGAGTGGGGGCGGGGCCGGGGAGCGTGAACCGGCACCGGGGGAAGCAGTCTCTGGCTGCTATTATAAATTTGCCGCCCCTGCAAATTTGCTGCCCTAGGCCTAGGCCTTGTCAGCCTAGGCGTTAATACGCCGCTGTCTCTAATGTAAAGAACATGATTAAATTTTTAAATATCAAACATTCCAGTTTCTTCTTCCAACCACTAACCCAATATTTGCTGAGAACAATGGGTGCCATCTTCCTCGGAAAATTCATGTATTTATAATTGACTGAACCAACAAGCCAGGACAGTCTTACAAAAGGGACAAAACCAAAGGACTAAAAAGTGAGCCTGATACTCAGGGAGAGAGAAGTAAATATAGCAAAATAGAATATAGCAAAAAGAAAAAACTCCTCCAATGCACTTCACTACAGAGCATGCCATATTCCTCCCTAGATTGTACCCTGCCCCAGCAATGATGGGCCCCATTGATCTCTGCTGCTCTGTACCTGGTGTAGCCAGGTATACCATGCAGAGCAGGGGCAATTCATCCCCAGTTCAGAAGAGCAGCCTTTAACACCCACTTTGCACAGGTGTAAATGATGGCCCCGGGTGCAAAGCAGTGGGGAATCAGGCCCACTCACATTGATGGAGAGGCTCCAGATCTACACCAGTGTCCCTAAGATCAGAACTGGGCCCACATATCTGTAGTATTAAGTGGGGTGTTGGGGATTGTTAGGGGGCTTTCCCTTCATCCCCTTCCCTGGTTCTTGTCACGCAGGCAGAAAGCAGAAGGCCAGAAGTCCGAAGTGCAGGCAATGTTTATTGGGGTTAGTTTCAAGCAAGCATATCCATAGCTCTGACACCGCTGAGCCTTGCTTCCCAGTGTCCCGTTCCCCCACTCCTTAACAGGCATAATTATACCTGCAATACACCCCCTTGGTCCACCTCTTACAATTTATGGTCATGTTCCATTTTGGGGGGTCATGAGTCTGGAGGCTTCATCCCACCTCTTTTTTATCCCATGGGAGGGGTAAGGTTGTGCTAGGGTCAGGGACAGGCATTGCTTTGGCCTTTTAATGCTTCGTATACCTTCCCGTTCATCCCACATTGCCCCTCCTAACTGGTTGCTTGACCTTGCCTTGAGATAGGAATTGAGGCAGTCTTCAAGTGTGTGCTTGTATATGATCTTCCCACCATGTCCAGTAACACTTTAGCAGTTCTTATCTGTTCCCATTATACTAACAAACCCATCTGGCTGGGCAGAAGCAACACACAGTGTCTTTGTTCACACGTTAGTAAGAATATAACCATATCAAAACTCAAACGGGCAAACAAGACCCAAACGTCTATCTCTGGTGAATATACAGGCCTGAATCCTACATTATCATCACTAACCCTCCTAACAGGCGTGTGTAGAGAATCAGCTCACCTAGAACACAAGTCCTGACCATCCGAATGGTCATCCGTCCGAATCCTGCCCTCCACCACCATCATCATCAGAGAACCACCATGGTCAGGTTTCAGAGAGGCAGCGCTAGGTCCCCCACCCCACGTTTAACCCAGGGACAAGGATTTGGCCCAAAATAAAGAGAAAACACATAGGCCAGGGGGCCCTCCTGACTGCTCGATACAGACGGATTACAGCTACCCATTGGGCAGGCTCATCTCTCCCCTCCAAGGCTGAATTAGCTGCAGGGCTAGATTAGCACCAGCAGGGAAAATGCAACCAATCAGAGGAATAAATAGACCCAGTTTAACAGAGCTCTTACACTCAGGGCCAGATTGTCAAGTGCTCGGCACCCACAAATGGGGGCCAGAATGTCAAAGCACTCAGCATGCAGTAGTTCCCACTGCGGCATTTCCAAGAGCTCAGCTCCTGGCAGGCTAAGCTGTCTTGGGAAGGCTGGCACGTCTACACTTCGTGCTGGGAGTGCGATTCCCAGCCTGGGGAGATAGACCCACACTAGCTCTGATGGAGCTAGTGCTCTAAAAATAGAGCATAGCTGCAGCAACACAAGAAGCGGGAGGGACTAGCCACGTGAGTACATGCCTAGCATCTCAGATTGGTACATACACGGGGCAACAGCTAGCTCCTCCCACCACTCATGCCTCCATGGCTAGACTATTTTTAGCATGCTAGTGTAGGTGTGTCTCCCCAAGATGGGACATACATCACCGGCTCGCAATGTAGACATATCCTTAGGTGGCTAAATGGTAGCTGAGGGCTATTGAAAGGTCCTTGTTGGGAGGACTCTTCTCTTAGCCATTTTAATATCTTTCCACTGTCTATATGAGGGAGATGGTCTGAAATGTGTCTGTCTCTGAACAAATGCAGCAGTGTGTGTGTTGATTCCACAGTGACATCTACATTCAGTTGATATATCTGCTTCTTGCAGGTTATCTTCAAAGAAGAGAAGACACAGGTAAGGGCTCTGAAAGCTTTGCCACCCACCTAAGCAGTATGGGTTAATTCTGCCCACATGGGGTGATGGGAAACACCATCAGACTCTAGGGAAGTCCAGGTTTGCTAGTGCTGGTGCAGGAAGGTGCAAGTTTCACCTAGCAGAGCTTATGAAACCCCCTAGGCTCCCCCTCCACCTCCAGAACATCTGAGGTTAAAGCTACATTGAGCCTCTTTCATTGGGGTGGAATTCAGCTGTATGTGCTGCTTGACCCGAGTGGTGCTTGGGTCTCATGCTGGTCCCTCTATACACAGGTGAATGCTACCCCTGGTGAACTTTCTGCCAGCTTTGGAGGATAGGATTAAAATTCAAAATGATCTGGACAAACTGGAGAAATGGTCTGAAGTAAACAGGATGAAATTCAATACGGACAAATGCAAAGAACTCTACTTAGAAAGGAACAATCAGTTGCACACATACAAAATGGGAAATGACTGCCTAGGAGGGAGTACTGTGGAAAGGGATCTCGGAGTCATAGGGGATCACAAGCTAAATATGAGTCAACAGTGTAACACTGTTGCAAAAAAAGCGAACATCATTCTGGGATGTATTAGCAGGAGTGTTGTAAGCAAGACCTGAGAAGTAATTCTTCCGCTCTACTCCGTGGTGATTAGGCCTCAACTAGAGTATTGTGTCCAGTTCTGGGCACCACATTTCAGAAAAGATGTGGGCAAATTGGAGAAAGCCCAGAGAAGAGCAACAAAAATTATTAAAGGTCTAGAAAACATGACCTATGAGGGAAGATTGAAAAAATTGGGTTTGTTTAGTCTGGAGAAGAGAAGACTGAGCGGGGACATGATAACAGTTTTCAAGTACATAAAAGGTCGTTACAAGGAGGAGGGAGAAAAATTGTTCTTCTTAACCTCTGAGGATAGGACAAGAAGCAATGGGTTTAAATTGCGGTAAGGACAGTTTAGGTTGGACGTTGGGAAAAACTTCCTAACTGTCAGGGTGGTTAAGCACAGGAATAAATTGCCTAGGAAGGTGGTGGAATCTCCATCATTGGGGATATTTAAGAGCAGGTTGGAGAAACACCTGTTAGTGGTTCTCAAATTAGGGGTGCCGCTTGTTCAGGGAAAGCCCAGTGGGCCAATGGGGGCTGCGGGAAGAGTGGCGAGCATGTCCCTCGGCCCGTGCCACTTTCTGCAGCCCCTATTGGCCTGGAACAGTGAACCATGGCCCGTGGGAGCCACGATCAGCCAAACCTGCAGACGCAGAAGGTAAACAAACCAGCCTGGCCCACCAGGGGCTTTCTCTGAACAAGCGGCGCCCCTCATTTGAGAACAACTGGTCTAGATAATACTTAGTCCTGCCATGAGTGCAGGGGACTGGGTTAGATGACCTCTCGAGGTCCCTTCCAGTTCTATGATTCTATGATATACAAGCATAGGCCATGGACTAAATCCAGCTTCTGGAGTTCATATTTATATCTAGGTTAAGGTTAACCCTTCCTTGGACACGTAAATATTTAAAGGGAGAGTGCATAGACTTAGAGGGAACAGTATAGGAGTCATACATTCACTGAGTGTTATTTTTGCCTTCCTATGTGCAAGGGCATTTGGAAGATTTTCTGCAGTGCTGTCCCACTGTGCTGTTACAGCAAAGGGCCTGACAGCTTTCCCTTTATGGATCCCGGCTTTGAGGCATTCCTATAGCTCCTGGGTTTTAATTTGTCCCTTGGGGACCACAGCACTGTCAAACCAGACATCATTTGCAACCTTGTTAGCTGTGAGGGTCCATAGAATCATAGAATATCAGGGTTGGAAGGGACCTCAGGAAGTCATCTAGTCCAACCCCCTGCTCAAAGCAGGACCGATCCCCAATTAAATCATCCCAGCCAGGGCTTTGTCAAGCCTGACCTTAAAAACTTCTAAGGAAGGAGATTCCACCACCTCCCTAAGTAACGCATTCCAGTGTTTCACCACCCTCCTAGTGAAAAAGTTTTTCCTAATATCCAACCTAACTCTCCCCCACTGCAACTTGAGACCATTACTCCTTGTCCTGTCATCCGCTACCACTGAGAATAGTCTAGATCCATCCTCTTTGGAACCCCCTTTCAGGTGGTTGAAAGCAGCTATCAAATCTCCCCTCATTCTTCTCTTCTGTAGACTAAACAATCCCAGTTCCCTCAGCCTCTCCTCGTAAGTCATGTGTTCCAGTCCCCTAATCATTTTTGTTGCCCTCCACTGGACTCTCTCCAATTTTTCCACATCCTTCTTGTAGTGTAGGGCCCAAAACTGGACAAAGTACTCCAGATGAGGCCTCACCAATGTCGAATAGAGGGGAACGATCATGTCCCTCGATCTGCTGGCAATGCCCCTACTTATACATCCCAAAATGTCATTGGCCTTCTTGGCTACAAGGGCACACTGTTGACTCATATCCAGCTTCTCGTCCAGTTGTCAGTGAGCAGAAGCCACCCTCCCTCCAACTTCACTGCTAGTTTAAAGTTCTTACTCTGATTGCTCAACAAGCTTAAAGGCTGAATGGAAACTCCTTCCTCAACTTACAGACTTAGGGGCTCATCTTACAACTGAGCAAGCTAGCATCTGATGTCCGTTTCCTACTGTGCTGGCTGGGGCTTGAGCCCGACTCTAATTAAAGGTTCCAGAATGTGGATTTTAATTAAAAACGTGTGTTCCCAAGACAGCTTCTAGGGTTTTTTTTTAGTGGGGAGAGGTGCAGGTTCAGAAAGTTGAGCTCAGGAAAGTGTGAAACCTCTTTCTAGAAGCAAATCTATAGTGGCTTGGCCCGCATTTCTCTCATGGTGTGATTTTACCAGCAAATCTACACTGTGATGAGAATTCATCGTCTGAAGGACCTTGTGCAGGAAGCTCATTGTATCCTACTCATTGAAGTCTTTGTCTCTATGGATCCAAGACACCGCTGCTTTATTCCAGATTTACACAGGTGTAACTCTATCAATACATGTATATTCCACTGAATGCATCCAATGAAGTGAGCTGTAGCTCACGAAAGCTTATGCTCAAATAAATTTGTTAGTCTCTAAGGTGCCACAAGTCCTCCTCTTCTTTATTCAATATATAGTTTTCATCCACTTTCTCTATAAGGCAGGTGGGATGACTGATCCCTTTGTTTGGAGCTCAGAATACAACATGTGTTTTTACTGAAACACAATGGAACAGATTCGCTCTACTGGGTTAAGTAAGCCCAAGTCCATTGGTGTGAATGGCATTGTGTCCATTTGCATCAATGGTGAGCAAAACATGCCAGTGATTGCTGAGATTGAATGTCCTGTTAGTTTGATTGTTTTGGCTGATTAGAACTGAAATCTTCCAGTTAATTAGCTATTTCTTATTTAGCTCCTCAAGCCCAAAAAGTAAAAGAAAGGAAGAAAGAAAACACAAAAAACAGTAAGTAGAAATGTACTGAACTATCGAATGTGTTTTTGCTGAACTGTCCCTTTAAGAGTCATGGATGTGGGGGAGGGTTTGGTGCCAGAAAACCCCGTTGGGGTTAGCCACAGATGGGTACCCACCACAGTAAACCTCTTCTTGCATTTTGAAATCACATGCTTGTTTTCCAGATCAAACAAGGGATGTTTTATCCTTCCCAAGGAGGATTTGAATTAGAGCTGGTCAGTGTTTTCCAAACTTGAACATTCAAATTTTGAAACTAGAAAAACTTCATGTTGGGGATGGGGAAAATATCCAAAAAAGTTTGTAAAATGTTTGTCCCTTTTCTCTGACCAACTCTACTTGGAGCGTAAAGATCAAAGCATGAGGGCTGCCGTTTCAAAGGGCAGGGAGCTGCTCCGGGGCAGGTGCAAAATGCACAGCTCATACTTGGCCTTGCTAGATGCTTGTGGAAAATTGAAGGTACAGCACCTCTGAGAGATGGCCAATAGTGTCAGAAGGAGGCTTGGCACATGGAAAGCCCAATGATCACATTTTCTTTGTGCTGTAGCAATGTGCTTTGAGGATGTACACTCCACACATGCCTCAATCCTGCAAAATATATGCATTCACATGTATGCAGGGTAATTATGGACACAAGGACTTCATGCAATTGGGCATGCAAAGGGTGGCTTGGGTGTACAAGTGTCCATTTGCACATATGGTGTATGCAATCTGCATGCACAAATGTGGGAACAACAGGCACCGTTACCCGTGCAATATGCGCGTATATAATTTGCACCCATAGCATGGGACCCTTCTTTGAACCTATGACCCCAGATGTGGTGAAAAGCAAGAGATGTTTCGGGGAGCAGAGGGACAGTTGGTTATGGTATGCTAACGCAGCTGGGATACTACCTCAGTCTTTAAAGGGCATCCGAACTCCTGCAAAGGGTTCAGCGCAGTCTTGCAGGAGGGGTGCACTCAGGACGGGAGGCTGAGAGGAAATGTGACCAGCACTGCAGAGCACAGACCAGAAATGACCCCTGACTCTGAGACATGCCACTTCATGCCACAACAGCCCAGCGTCAGGAGAATGATCACATGCCTTCCTGCGATGTTTAATCTGTGACACAGTCAGGATGTTGCTCCCTGTTGCTTTCATTCCCTTAGGGCAAGGTTGCAATCCCCTGACTCAGGAGAGCTCACACCACTCCAGCCAAAATGAGAAACACCCTCTATGCACACAGCCTGAGGGGGTGTCGTGCTCCCCCCATTCCTTTAACTCCTTTAACATTCCTGCCTTATCAAATACTCAGCACAAATAGCCCCACTCATGGAATAAGGCACCACTGACTGTAAGTGTGGCAGAACCTGCCGCTAAGTAAAGAAGAGGAACCGAAATAAATCAGGTGAAGGAAACTGTGGTTTCAAGCAGTAGCTGTCCCCAGGGCAGACTCTGATCTCTTGAGCGGGGTTTTGATCCAGACTGCTAGAGTCTCTCTGGTTTGAGCCAATCTGCAGTGGGCCTTTCCTGGCAAGAACACAGCCGGCTACTCGTTCACTGGGACAGAGGAGGAAATGTTCGCGTCGGAGCTTCATTATTTGCGGTGCGTGACTGGTCACCTAAGGCAGATGGTACCATTTCTGCACCCCGATGGGATGGCAAAAGCTTTAAACGCAAGATTAACAAGGATAGTAAATGTTGAATAGCGAGTATTCTTGTTTTCACATGAAGGCACAGACACAGATCTTTGTACAAGCAGCATATGTTCACTGTTGCCCACTCCAAGCCTTCAAAAGTCATGAACCAAACCCCCCAAATCATGATTGGCTTGAAATGGTGAGATTTTTTTAAAATAATAATAATCAAGGTGGGGTTCTTCTTCTTTGCCTTTTGAGGTCTTTTTAGGTTGAAGTTGGGCTACATTTCAAAGCTTTTCTCTGCAGTGATCAAGGTTAGAAAGGTTTCTAAATGACTGCTGAGTTTCTCACCAAATTTCATGCCTCCAGGAGCTGGGGCTTTAAGAAAAACACCAAATATCATGAGAGTTGTGATAAGATCACATGAGTTGGCAACACATTCCCCGAACATTCCTGTGAGCAAAAAAACCAAACTTGTCAAACTGGCTAAAATCAGCACAGAGCAAATAATAATAAGGTACAAGAACAATGAAACCAAACAGCCAACGAGAGTTTAAGTAAATGTTCACCAGCAGCTTTTGCAGTGTTCAATCTGCTCTGAGTGGGATATTCTTTTGTATAAGGGGAGATGCAATTCTGAAGCAGATGGTCTGTTGGTTTTATTAGAGGTTGATTTATTGCACCCCAGTCGTGCGACATGTGGGCAGAAATCCAGAATTTCTAAATAAAACATCACACATTGTCAAATAACAAAGCCCCAAAATTAGATCATGCCTCAGCCCCCATGCTAACGATCCCCTCCTGGCTAACAATCACTATCTCCATTAGCTGGCACCTGCCCTCTCCTGGCTAAAAATCCAGGCTTCACAGATACCTAAAATGTCACCAAAAATATGGGCTCTGACCAGCCACCGAAAGGAACAAACACTGAAGCTGATAGCTGCCACCAAAAGCCCCCTGTCATGCCCACTGCAGAGTGCAACCCTAGTGGCAGTCAACAAGAATGTTACAATCAATTGTAACTGTTAGGGGCTTATTCCTTCACCCACTTACTTCCCTGGTCCTTCTCGCATGAACAGAGAGCAACAATACCCGAAGTCCAAAGCTGCAAACAATTCAATGTTTATTGGGGTGAACTTCCAGCAAGCATGATTCCAGTTTCCTTCCTTAGTGTCCTCCTTCCCAGCTCTGACACCACAGAGCCTTACACCTGTGTCCCTGTTCCCATTCCTGCCCTCAGCAAAACATTATTCCAGTTTCCTTACCCCCATTCCCTGTCCCCATTTCCCCCTTTAGCAAAACATGATTGCAATTTCCTTACCCCCATTCCCTGTTCCCATTTCTCCTCTTTAGCAAAATATGATTCCAATTTCCCCACCCCCATTCCCTGTTCCCATTTCCCCCTTTAGCAAAACATGATTGCAATTTCCTTACCCCATTCCCTGTTCCCATCTCCCCTCTTTAGCAAAACATGATTGCAATTTCTCCACCCCCATTCCCTGTTTCCATCGCCCCCTTTAGCAAAACATGATTCCAATTTCCTTACCCCCATTCCCTGTTCCCATCTCCGCTCTTTAGCAAAACATGATTCCAATTTCTCCACCCCCATTCCCTGTTCCCATCTCCCCCACCCACACACCCACCCCCTCACTTCCTGATTGACTGCAGACTATATAGTAAAACTTGAGTTCAGCTTAGCTATACCTTAACCAATCATTTTCCTGAAATTTAACTGACCAATCCTAACATATTGTAACATGATTATGTAACCAATTATATCCCACCACCTTAATTAGTTTACACCCAGCAAAATTAATTATACAGCAGACAGGAACAATCACAGAACCAGACAGAGATTATACAGACAAACAATAGCAAAGTGGGAACTATAATGACAAAACAATACAGAAGTGAGGATTTCACATCCCAGTATCGATAAGTGAGTTCTTGCCAGACAGGATGCTATCAAACTAAGTTTCCTTTTACATTTTCTAGGCACTTCCCTTTCTCTGGAGGTGATAGGCACTATCAGGACAGGATTGTATTCCTAACAGCCCAATAGCACCTTATTTCAGTGTGACTAGTTTGGAATGTGAGGATGTGACTGTTCACTTCCCAGTTTATGGCTGCCTCTGCTGCTTAGCCAAACGCCTTAACCTAAGAACAGGGCCTCAGACTGTCACAGTAAGAGAAGGCCCTTACACCAGCAGACAGTGATTTTGATTCTTTCTTTTATACCTCTAGAACTACCCAAGTGATAAGAATACACCTAAATTCTTAAAGTACAGGCCTTTGCAGACAGGCCTGAATATCTATATCCTAACAGTAACCGCTGTAATGGAGCAAAGAGGGAGTGGAACAGGCCTCTGGATCCTGGGGCATATGGGTGCATCCCTCTGCGCCTGTCCCTTTAAAACTGGGTGGTCACAGAGCACATGACTAGGAGCTAGTACATGATCTGCAAGAAGACAGATCTAAGGCTTGCTGACTCTTAAGCAGGGGCAGCACACGGGATTGACCTAGACTCAGGGAAAGCCTATTGCGAGAGGTCTCTGTAGTAGCCAGGAAAGAGCTATCTGGGGGGCAAAGATGTCCCTCCGCGTCCCAGCTGAAGGAAGCAGGGAAGATGTCCGTCACCGTGTATTTTGTGTTGTTTTGAGCCTCTCTTGCATCTTCCGTTTATCAATAAACCCTCCCTGTGGAAAGGGACGTGGGCCTAACCTTGAGAGGTGCATGTGGAGTGACCTGGCTGATGGGACTAGCTGACAAGGAGGCCCAGAAATAAGGAGATCCCAGCCTGCAGAATAGTTTGTGTTAACAGTTGCCCAAAGGATGTTGGCTGATCAGATGTGCTCTTCCAGCCTGGCAGATGCATAGATTCATAGAGCTTAAGGCGAGAAGGGATCGTTACTGTCCTCTAGTCTGACCTCCTGCATAGCACAGGCCGTATGAACTCCACCCCGTGGTTCTGCACCGAGCTTGGCGACGTGTGGTGAGCTACGGCCTATCTCTTGGAAAGGCACGAGGCGTTGATCTGTAAACTCCAAGCAATGGCTAATAGCCCTCACGGCTTAGAAAAATTTACACCTCATTTCCATTTTGTCTGTTGCCAGCTTCAGCTTCCATCCGCTGGATCTCGGGCCGCCTTTGTCTGCTCGATTAATGAACAGCTTTCTTTCCACTCTCAAAAGCTCTCGTAGCCGGCCACGAAAATCCCACCGCCACCGCCATCGCCAGTACCACTCTCGCTCGGAGAGCTCCGATTCCCTCTCCTCTAGCTGCCAAAGCAGGTAATGGTGCCCTTTGCTGAGCTGATTTTCCTTTTGCCTAGCTTCAGGGGCACAGCTGAAATGAGCTTAGTGGGCTCAGTGTAAACACCGCCATGCACTGAGATGCTCTGTCTCCCTCCAGTGGTGGCTAGGTCACGCAGAGAGGTGGCTGAGCCTGCTACTATGTTATGCTGGGTTGGGCTGGGGTCTTTTTAGCTCAAGCAGTAGAGGCTCATGCTTTTAGATCTAGAGGTGCCAGGTTCAATCCCTGCTGCCGATGATCCTGCCAGGGAGGCAGCTTAACATCATCCTAGTTTCCCAGGGTGACAGTGACCTGAAAGCACATGACCAGCCCAAGGCCTATGCACCACTGAACTCCCACTTTTAAGCCCTTAAAATAGGCCTTGGCACATGGGTGATTCTCATACCTGGTGGATCTATTTACCATTGTCACTATACAGCTGCCTACTTTGACACGAGTAGCCATCTTTGTTTTGGGCCGGGCAGAGAGGGTGGTGGTATATGCCAGGGTTGCTGGGCAATGGAAGATCTGCGTGACGGGATCACGCTAGACCTGGCTTGGGTCACTCTGCCATTTACACAAATACTCAACTTTAAAAACAAAGAAGATATTTTAAGGAATTTGGTGGCAGCAGTTGGTGAAGAGTTGTTGATCGCTGGAGGTGGGAATGCAGTGTGAGGACAAGACGATCATGGAACACGTTAGAGCAGGTGGACAGGGCTGCATTCTCTCAGAGGCATGTCACCTCCGGGGTTTTAAGCCCCCTCCAAATAGAGATGGAGACAAGCCACAAAAGTCAGATCCAGATTTCATCTCCAACACTACAGTGCAAGGAGGTTCGGAAACAGGGTTTGCGTCCAGGCTGTTACCAAGTAAAACTCGGATCTGAGTCCAGGTTTGGGTTCTGAACCCCTCCAAAGTTCAGAGGTTTTGGATCAGGGTCCAAACTCATCACAAGTCGGCCAGTTTCAAAACATTAAGAAACTCAAATAGGAATAGGAGTCAGTATCCACCTTTTCTCTCAAATTCCAGCAGCCAGCCATAGTATCACCTGCCTCAAGGCAGCAATCAAAGGGGTGAAATTCACCTATGTGTAGTGGACCCATAATGACCCCTAGCTCTCACACAGCACCTCAGTCAGCAGATCTCAAAGCACTTTATGAAGGAGGTAAGCATTGTTATCCTCATTTTACAGATGTGGAAACTGAGGGTGGGGAACTGACTTGCCCAAGGTCACCCAGCAGGCCAGTGGCTGAGTGGGGAATGGAATCCTGGTCTCCTGAGTCCTGCTCCCGTGCTGTATCCACTAGGCCACACAGCCTCCTGTAAGCCTGGTGCTGGCTCCCTGCACAGGAGTGACTTTCACCCGACATGTGGAGCCAACAGATAGGGTGGCCACTCTCACGTTCCCAGAATACTGGGCATCCCAGTGCTTCTGGGAATGGTGGGAGAAACCTTTTTAAGAGCATGCTGCCCTGCTTCCACACCCGCCGGCATCATCTCGCACACACGGCGCATTCAAAGACATGCCACACAGGCGGGGGAGTGCCATCTTGTAGTGCACACAACCCTGCTCCCCTGCCGTGACCTTGCATGAACGATGCGTTTGAGGTCATGCCAGCGGGTGCAGAGTGGCACACTCTTAAAGAGGTGTCCTCCGTCCAATACCAGACAAAACTATGCCCGGGTTTGTCCCAGTATCAGACAGGGCACTAAAGCACACTAAAAGAGGACTGTCCCGTTTATAACCAGACAAATGGCTTCCTTACATGGAAGATGGGACATTGTGGACACTGCTGCAATACAATCAATAATACTAATCAGAATTCATCATGGTTTGATTTTGTTTCTCTTTCTTCAGGCACAGAGGCAGGTCTCGGGAGGAAGGCCATAAAGCAAGACGAAGACGCTCCCATCACTGTTCAAAGAGCACTGAGAAGCGAAGCATCTCTGCAGAGGGTCAGGCCAGCCATTCCCCCAGCCAAACCCTTCAGATCTACAGCTTCCTCTCGGCTAAGGAAGTAGTAAGTATTCTGCATTCTGCTTCCTTGAGCAGACTAGCCACAGAAACTTGGGGGGAAAAATCCAGTATGAAATTTTTATAACTCAATTACAGTTATGTTAGACAAAGTTGGTTTAAAACTATATTATTTATTGATGGTGCTGTTCTCCGACATATTAAAAGTCATTCCTTTCCCTCAGCGCTTACACACTGGGGGTGGGGCAGGATAAGCCTTTAGTCTATGAATAATGAATAAGGGACATTTAACAAAAAAGCAGCCTCCAGTGATGGTATTTTACGGGGAAGTGTTTGTTATGCAGTCATTGCTCAGCTGGATGTGAACTTATATTCGTGGGTCTTTGTGCCCAGTGGCTTAGTCCTTCGGGGGGGATCAAGAGAGTCAAACGTATATGAAAGAAACATTTACATTGAATGAATTGGGGATTCTTGGCAGGGGATGTTTGTTGACTTTCGGGATTCTTTTCAGATCATCGCTCCTCTTTGCTGACCAACCGAAGAGCCAAATTCTGAGCTTGTAGGCAGCTCCTCTTGATAGGAATGGGGGCTGTGTGTGGAGGGTAGAGTCAGGCCCAATGTCTTGGGGTATCTTTTGGGATAGATAGAGAGAGAATGTAATCCGTGTCCTAGATCCTGTCTTCGTCGAGAGAAAGAGAGAATTAAATAAGGACCTGATTCTCCACCACACTGCATCTTGTGCAGCACTGTGTGAAACAGGTGTAAAGGGCTGCCAGATATCGGTATGAACTCACTTTGCACAGAGATAAACTGCTACACAAGGTGCAACCCAGTGAGGAATCAGGCCTGCGCATGTACAGTATAAGGGATGGGTCTGAACACAGCACTAAGCCCTCCGAGCCACCATACTTGTATATATTATAGGCCCAATTCTCTCACTTATACAGCAGATGTAAATCAGGACTAACATGACTGGACTCAATAGCTACACCGATGTAAAACCAACATCGGTGAGAGGAGAATCTGTGTGTGTGTTATTTTAGAAACAGCTGCATATACATGTGCACACACCTGTGTGTGTGTGTGATACACACACATATGCAGAGAGAGAGATATGTCACGGAATGGTGAGCTGTGAAGTTTTTATTGGCGTGAAATTTCGCATGGCTGCATCACTGGTGAGTGGTGAAACTGAAAGCGTTAATAGCTCATCCCAAAGGATGGCCAGTCAAACTGTTACATTGCATCGTACCATCATGTTTTCTGTATAAGCCACTTATTTTACAGACAAACTCTTCAAGAAATCTTTTAGAGAGTTTAAAAATGACCTTAATTGGTACTATTTTTTCTAGTTCTCTGTCTCCAAAGCCAGGCTCCCTCATGAGACCAACTGCCACAAAGGATAATAACTACAACAATTTTGAAACCTCTAAAGACGATCTAAGATAGAGCATGGTACATGCACTCTGCACTCCCTTTGCATAGGTGTAAGTGACCACACAAGGCAGATAAATATCAGCCTCAGTGTGTTTCTAGATATAGCTGCAGGTTATGGGTGAGGAATATAAGTCATCGGGACATCTATATTCTTTCTATTTTAGCCTACTAACGAGCAAATATTCTGATAACAAAAATGTATCAGTATATTTAGTATGCAATCTGTCAGTGTTCTCCCTCATCCCAAAGAAAAATATACACACTTGGGCCATGATTCAGGAAAGCACTTACAGCACCTGCTTGAAGTTAAGTACATGCTTCAGTATTGTCCTGAACAGGGACACTTTTCATGAATAAGGGCCTTAAAGATCGTGTAAAGAATAACTGAGAATGTAAAGATGAATAAACATTAATCTCATGCATTAGGAATGACCAGATACACCTATTTTGTGGTTTCACTCTGCCTTTTGTGGATTAAAGTGGTCAGGTCTATAGCAGGTTGAATATTTTTCCATCAAAAAGAGTTTTTGGGTTTTTGGGGTTTTTTTGGAAATTTGGGTTTTTAACTACATTAAATTTTGCATAAAATATATCTGCTTTTTGCAGATAATTTTGACTATTTGTTGAAAAACTGGACATCTGAAAACCTAAGCTGAAAAACCAAAACATTTTGATACAGCAATGCTGCCATGGTCCTTCATGGGGGTTGTAGTTTCATTGCTTCATACCACCCATTGTCCTCTGTGGGTTGGATTCCCAAGTCAGACTATATCTCCCATAATGCATCATGGCAGCGCAGCCAGAGGGGAGATTGTGATGCATGATGGGAGATGTCATCTGACTAGGAAGCCGGGCCCATAGTTGAGAATGCAAGCATGAGAGCCCAAACGGCAACTCCCATGAGCCACTGCAGCAGCATTTGTGAATCTAAGTGTTTTGGTTTTGGCCAGAAGTTTTTTTTTGAGGTTCCTCCCTTCTTTTTCTGTCCGTCTCCCCCCTCCTCCCCCAAAAGAAAAAAGTTGACATTTTATTTCGGGGGGAGGAGTGACATGAATTATTTTTTTTCTTTTTCATTGGTATTTTCCACAAAGAAGAAAACCATTTTGTAACCAGCTCTATCTGTAAATCATTAGAAAAAAACACATCGTGCTATCCATTGCATCTCTCTGTCTCTCTCTTATATACACGTGGATGAGCACACATACAGGAAGACAACCAATAATTTCATGCTTCTTTGCTTTTCTGTAATAAATTTCCTAGCCTCTTCCTCTATTTTCTCTCTGCTGAACAATTAATAACAAGCAGCCACAATGGAAACCTACTCAGAGCCGGATTACATGGCTACCCCTCGGTGCACTGAGAAACTGAGGGTAATGTGCAGTATCTATTTTTAAACAGAGGAATAACAAGCCCCCTAACCTGCTGCCGCTGTTTTACTCCACACTGATACAGAGATATTTCAGGCTGCTGTGCTTTTAGGAAGTCTTAGCTGAACTGAACAATATAAATACCTGTAGGATATGAATCTAATTGCCTTTGTTGTGTCTGATGAAGATGACTGCAGCAGACAGGACACAGATACCACTCTCCAGCCCCCTGACTTCCACTGACACGCCTTTTATCAGCAGCTAGAACAAACATAGTCTTGAGCCAAATTTTTTGCGAGCCCATAGGGAGGTTTGGGGTACAGTTATTTCAAGCAGCGCTAATTATTTCTGTGCTAACATGAAGATGAAGGAGGGGAAGTGCCAGCCAAGGCAAAGAGTGTCTCTGTATGAGCTGGGAGGGTTTCAGAAGCCTTGCAAGGGGGGTTGGTTTTGACTGCAAGTTGTTCCATGTTTTCCAGCCCTGAATTTTTGGTTTTAAGTAGGGAAGGAGTTTCTTTTAACACCCCAGCAGCATGTAACGCGATAACCATTCTCCTTAAAGTTCAAGGGTAAAAAGTTAAAAAAAAAAAAAATGCTTGGGTTATTTGCATATCTAAATATGCAGATTCTGGTTTCTATTTTTTGGTCCCAGCCTGAGACCTGCACGGTGCCAAAATCCCAGCACTGCTTGGGGCTGAAGTCAGGATGGAACAGTCTGACTGACCTGGGCATATTTGAGACCAAGCGGAGAGCACTAGCTGGAGTCCAGCAGAGGGTGGGTGTGCGCTACTGCTCTGCCAATGCACCTCAAACCCGGTCTGCAACACCCCCGGCTGTTTCCATTCAGAGCCTCTCCAGAGCATTTGTTTCCAACCATGTAGGCTGATGAGATTTCGCAAGGCCAACAAATGTTCACTTTGGACTCAGCTGGAAACTCCCACTCCAGTCTGATATAGGCCATATGGGAGTGCAGACAGACATCCAGCAGCAAACAGCAAGTGCAGCGATAAACGCGCCTCACTGTGATATCCCTCTCTTCTTGCATATGATAGGTGTCTGGCATCATTTTAATAGACTCAGCCTAGCCTTTATTGTACCAAGGACCCAATCCTATGCTCTCTGTGCAGGCAAAGCTCTCCTCAAAATCACAGCAGATGCTTTCATTGAGTTTTGCTTGAGTCGGGAATAGAGGGTTGGGCCTTTTGCGGTTGTATCTTATTTCCATGCATCGGTATTTTTATACAGAGCCATTCACTTTAACGGGGCTTAAACTGAGAGGGCCAGATCCACAGCTGGGGTAAATCAGCAGCACTCCATTAAAGCCAAGGGACTCATGCCAGTTTACCCCAGCTAAGGGTCTGGCCCAGAAATCAGTAATACAGTATCTCCCTAAAAGCTTGCTGAGCACATGGCCCCTTTCTCCCAAGTGACCCCTGTCAGCAGGCGGCACTTCCAATTCCAGAAGCTCATCAGCAGTCTGTGCCGACTGTATAACCTGCTGCCATAATGAATAGCAAGACTCGATGGGGTCATTGTCACACTTGCTTTATTCCTTTCATTATTAGCATGCCAAGAAGAAGAAGATTAGGCACTTCCTAAAAAAAGAAATTAATGCTACTTTGAAATGAGTTTTACAAAAGACATAGACCCAGGAAAGAAATCCTCCAACTATAAGCCGTGCCATGCAGAGCTACTCATGGCAAGATCTCATTCCCCATATGGCTGAGAAAATGTATAGCCATCTCTCTCCACGGGGCTATTTGTAGCACAGTAAATGGACTTGTTCGGTTTAATTGGAATACTCTTAGTGATTGTATTGTTGTAATCTAGTAGGCCATGTGGTCTCTTGATGTAGGATTTCAGTAGAAATTAAATTCTGAAGTGTAAGTGAGGGCCTCTTTATTTCCCGCCCTTCATTTTGATTAAATAATGATTTGAAACAGAAAAACAATAAATAAGTATGCTGGTTCCCTCAAGGGCAACCCTAGATTCCCACAGCCAAAGCTAAGGGAAGCGAAGTCTCCTGAGGTTATTTAATTACTTATTAGAAGTTGGGAAGGCAGGAGGGGGGGGTAGGGGGAGATCCTAATGTTCACACAGAGCAAATTAAGGCCATAAAAGACTAGGCACTTTAAAACATGCCCCCCCAAATAAAAAGACCATTAGAATTCACTTGAACTCTGTACAGTGTTTCAAATATGGTGTTCGGTGTATAGTTCATATGGCTGATGCTTCTTCACAAGCAGCAAAAGGAGGGAGACTAGGGGTGATCAGTGGTGAATTTCACCCCAGAGCGGAGGGCAGCAAAAGGACTGTTCACCAAGTACACCCCTCGTAAGTCCTATTTTGAGGGCTGAAGTGATGCAGATGCTGGTCCTTTGGCTCAGGGTTGAATTTTGTGCCAGCTGTCTCAGAAACAGTGGAAGTCCTTCCAATTAGTTCCATCCTGGTTGTCACTAATGTTGGGGGAGGGGGGAATAGACAGCTGTTCTCCACTCCCTGACTACCTGCTATTACACCAGGCCAGGCCCTCTGGCCTTCGGATGTGAAATATGCAGCGCTGGGCATGTGTTTCCTCATGTTTCCTCTTAGCTCAGTATTGCTGGTACAGGGACTAGGTTAACGCAATGGATGACTGAGCTGGGTATAGCACGCAAGTCCCAGGCACTTATGAAGGGTCAACAGCATCGCTAGCCAAAACCTGAGGTCTTTACTCAGGCAAAACGTCCCATGGAATCAAAACTGAGCAAGGACCATGGGATTTGGCTCATTAGGGCTGGGTGTCAGGGGTGCAATGATTGTGTCATCGCCTCTGGAAATGTTATTGGACATTTGAATAGGGCAAGGAGGAGGAATTGGGCAGGGAGATAGGAAAGGTCAAAGGGGGGAGAATCAGGATCCCATATCTCTTCTCAATGTGGACATAAAATTTCAAGAGTTAACTTAATTTTTAAAATGTTGGCACAAGAAATGGAATTTGCAAGGGGAAGAAAAGAAGATTTAACGAAACTTTTTAGCACGTGCTTAAAGTTCAGCATATATTTAAGTCCAGTTGACTTCAGTGGGGCTTGATTGCATTCTGAAGTGCTGTGCTGAACTGAGGCCTAAGGGGGAATGTATTGACTCTCAAATTATTAAATGACCTTGCAGTATACGGAGAACAATGACCACTCCCAAGCCAAACCTTAGCAAAGCTGAAACAAAAGCAAATGTCCCAGTTCTTACAGGCACCCTAAGGGAGCTACTTTGGAAATGCTGGGAGCAAAGAAACATTTAATGGGTTTCCTGGCAGAGAGAAGAAGGATCTTTAATTTTTAGGACATCGATGGGGTGAGGGGAAGGACAGACATTTGTACCTGCAGAATCAGCCAGAATCCTTCAGCATCGATGCTGGACGAGTCCAAACCCAAGATTTTCTGACACTTTGCAATTTATCCAAAGATTCTTTACCTGTGTATTCGTAGAATAGCTTGAATTTTATTTTTATGAACCTTTGCTCTAAATTAAAAATAAATATAGGGGCTGGGGTGTCAAAAGCCAGACAAATCTAAACCTGGGTTCAGATCCAAATACTAATCATTCTTAAAACAAATCTGGCAGCATATTCCAGTCTATATTCCAGATCCCCATAATGAATGATCTCAACTAGCTTCCCCATCTCTTGAGGTAGGAAATGGGCGAGAAGGAAAATCACTGTGTTTTTTGCCAGCAACTAACATAGTGAAACCCCAGTTCTCGCAGGGTTTTCAGGCCCTGTTTGCTTTCCAATGAGCCTAAGGGTTGATGCCAATTCAATGGAACTGGACATGACTCTGTTGAAAATCCCAACCTGCGTTAATATGAACAGTAAATAATGATCATGTGATATCATTTGGGGACCAACAGCTAGGTTATTTTCACACACAATATTTGGGGGCCAATGGGTTCCTTTTCCAACCCATGATGGGCTTGACTGCTCCCACTGGAGTCAGTGGTGAAATCTCCTATACAGCATCTGCGTTCATCACTAATTCTGGGGAACTCCTCTGATGGAAGATGGGAGCATTTCTTTGCTGGGAAATTTCTGTTCTGTGCAAAATGCTTTCTATGTTCCAAACAGCTCTACTCAAAAGGTATATGTGGGTCCGATAAAAGGCATCACATTGACTCCTTTGTGTTTGGACCACCATTGCCCCAAAGCACGGAACCCCAAGTATGGAGAGCGTGGTGCAGTAGCTGAAGCATTGGACAGTGACTTGAGAGATTTGGCTTCTGTCCCCCACTAACCTTGTGCAAGTCATTTCCCCTCTCTGTGTCTCATTAGCCCATCCTGTTCAACGGGGTTGGTGATACCTCCCTTAGAAATGTGATGGGAGCTTTCGTTCCGTAATATTTGTAACCTGCTTGGAGATCCTCCACGTCGAGGCACTATCGGAGAGCAAAGTGATCATGGCAAAGCTTGGATCATCAGCCTGTGCTGTGTTTCGACAGCTTTTCCTTTGCAGTAACTCCACTTTTGCTTTATTGGTCAGTGATTTTAGCTTACTATTGTTGCAAAGCTGATTTGCCCCTGCCGCCGAATCAGATCCTACCACCCTATTTAGCAACTCTTGGATTAGACTAAGAGAACAACCCACTGTGACGGGAACTAGATGATGTGAGCAGGTAGGCCTCCTGAGACGGCCCCGTCTGACTGGCTGCAGAAAGTGTTATGGGAAGCTCGATGTGAACTGTGACCTCTGGTGGATCCATGTTTGTTCTGACCCCAGTGGAGAGCCGTACCGAGGCAACGTGCCTCTGTTCCACCGGACCTGCAGCCACGGTTAAAAGCACATAGCCTTAGAGCATTTAATGCGCTTTGTGAGGGGAATGGTCAGAGGTCATGAGTGACACCCAGGTCTTTGAAAGCCACCTTGCACAGGAGCATTTTCTGCCCTGCTCACATTAGTTTTATTCAGCATTAAGCTTGTATCGCTCCCCTCTGCACAAAGCAACGAGGGACAGTATTTTATGTATCAGCCAAATAGAGGTGCATGTTGTAAAAACTGAGGGCCAGATCCTCGGGTGGGGGTGGTGTGAATCAGCACAGCTCTGGAGCAACACTGATTGACACCAGTTGAGGATATGGCCCTGGAGCTGTAGTTCCCAGCATCATTTGTAATAAGCCAATATACATTGAAGATGTTTAGGCTAAACACACTAAGGGCCCTGATCATGCAGCCCACTTGCATTCAGTGGGTTACTGCCATGAGTAAGGGCTACTCATCTGAGTCTGCATTGCAGAACTAGGCCCCATGTTATTTATTAAATTAGATCCCACCAAAGATCATCTGAGATCCTCTTATAAACAACAGCACATTTATTATACTGTCCTTGGACCACACCCGCCACCAATCTGACTGCTGATTGGGAACATGGCCCAGCTCCCACTGACACCAATGGCAAGAGTTCCACTGAATTTAGTAGGGTTGCCAGTTTTGTTTGGGTGTATTCCTGGAGGTTTCATCACTTGACATAATCTTTAATTAAAGATTAATCTTTAATTCCTGGAGACGACAGGTCAATCCTGGAGGGTTGGCAACCCTAGAATTCAGTGGGACATAGATCAAGTCCTTAAAGAGATTTTCAGGGTTCCATCTGACAGCCATAGAATTTTGGCCCTGACCCTGCAATCGGACCCATGCATGTGGACCCTGGACCCTACAAAGACTCCATTGATGTCATTGGGATTCTGCACAGGTGCGGAGGTCTGCCAGCATGCAGGTCCATTGAAATCAGTGAGGCTGCCTGTGGCCTTAGGGCTTTACCCATACAGATCAGATTGCAGGATCAAAGTCTTTGTTTTCCCCCAGCCTTTCTCTAACACACCACAGGGAAAATATTTTCCCTTCCTTCCTTCCTTCCTTCCTTCCTTTTTTTAGATTTTTCTCAATTTTATTTTGTTTTTTTGAACTTCAGTGTATCTGTGGGCCAGCATGAAATCAATGGGGATTTATTTAAATCAGTGACTTGTCATCCCAAATAATCAACCTAGAGGAATTTACTAAACAACATGATTAAAAACAAAACAAAAAAGTCTTGAAATTTAAATAGAAAAGAATCAAACAATTGACGGTGAGGATTTGAAGAGAGGGTTTATGTTTTTTCTTGTAATTTGAGACTCTAATGATGGACTTATGTTGCCCGCTCTTCCCTTTTTCTTACACCTTACCTACTAAAGGAGGAATTCTTGATTGGTAAGTGGATGCTATCCGCAAGACACTAGGGACTTTATTAGAGGTCACTAGAGAGCATTAGCTATACCTTCTACAGGGGGCAAAAAAGCACACAAAGAAATATCTGTATTCCTTTTATTTCCAGAGGGATTTTAATTTTTCTGGGTTTTTTTCTTTTTATTCCCACCCTACCCCCCACTTTTTTTCTTTTTTGAGTTTCAAAGTGCTAAACTTGTTTGTTTGCCAATTTTTCCTTTGTACATAAAGACCTTTTTTGTGACATTTGAGTCTCCTTATTAAGGAAACTAAAACAAAAAGTCGATCATTTAGAATTTTGTTCCATTTTTGATTTATTTCCAATGAGTATGTATTCCTGTTTCTTTCCCCTACCCCACCTTTTAGGTTAAATAAGGGTTGTTAGGTTTTTTTGTTTGTTTGTTTCTTTTTTCTGTTTGATTTTTTTTTGTATTTATTTATTCTTTTGTTTCCCTTTTTTTAAAAAAATCCTTTTGTTCAACATGGATCGCATGCTAATACTCTTTGCATGATGTCTAAATCTTCCAGTTATCATGTTAGGGGGAAAAGAAGTTTCTTCTTTCTGTGGTTTTTTTTCAGGGATATGTACTTTTGTTTTTTAGCTTCTTTCTTTGTTTCTTTCTTTCCTTTTGTTACAGTGCATCATGACGGTAAAATTTCTTGGTTTATTTAAAAAAAAAAGTCAGACAATATAAAACAACAACAAAAAATTTTAAAGTTCAAACAACGCCAAATGGCTTTTTTGCTTTCAGATCTCTCAGTCGGGGTCATCTGCTGACCTCTTTACCAAAACAGACAGCCCGCTTGGCAACCTAGCCAGTCGGAATGGAGGGGCCCATGAATCTGACTCAGGAAACGATACTTCCTCCCCTCCCTCCACTCAGAAAAGCTCAGCCAGGCCAAAGGACAGCCAGGAGAAAAGAAGCCTAGCCCACAATGGCTTTGGCCGTGCCTTCTCACCTGGGAAGCCCAAATTGGCCAACAGCGATAACAGCTCTGATTCAGGAAATTCCTTCACCAGTTGTTTTTCCCAGAGCAAGGGAACAACTTTGGAAAATCTCTCTCCAGATGACAAGGGACAGGATCAAAGGTAAGTGATTGCCAATAGTTGGTGTTTGCTATATCTATTCCTGGAATGACTCCGTGTCTTCTGCTCACTTGACTGTTGCAGGTGATGAGCCGATAGGAATGTATTTCTCTTCCCTAGGTGGCTAGCCATAATTCAGGTCCAGCAAGTCTGGCATCCCAACTCCAATAGTGGCTTCAAAGGAAAGTGAAAAACAACACATAATGTACCTGGGCAATGTTGCTGTGTGTGTGGAATTCCTTCCTGACCCCTTTGGCACTCAGTTTATGCCACGAAGGAGATTTGATTATGCTAACTTTAATCCATTCAATCTTCTCCTCATCCCTTAGCCTCCACATGCACCAGCCCCAGCCTCTCCCCGCAGGGCCATTCAGAAGAGAATCATAGAATCATAGAATATCAGGGTTGGAAGGGACCTCAGGAGGTCATCTAGTCCAACTCCCTGCTCAAAGCAGGACCAATCCCCAACTAAATCATCCCAGCCAGGGCTTTGTCAAGCCTGACCTTAAAAACCTCTAAGGAAGGAGATTCTACCACCTCCCTAGGTAACGCATTCCAGTGTTTCACCACCCTCCTAGAGAAAAAGTTTTTCCTAATATCCAACCTAAACCTCCCCCACTGCAACTTGAGACCATTACTCCTTATTCCGTCATCCGCTACCACTGAGAACAGTCTAGATCCACTTGGCTCCGGATGCAGGCATGAATCAAAGACCTAGATCCAAACACTGGGGCCCTCTCAATCTGGATCTAGATGTGGCTTGAGCTCATCTCTCATTGACTTGTTGTGACCTTGTAGCAAAAAAGCAGGAAAGGTCACGAGCACATTTAGGCAAACTTCTAAAGGCTGGATGGAATTGTTACAGACTGCCTTGTCTTTCTTGTAGCTACTCATGTTTGGGAAGCAGAGCTATATGCATTTAAATTAAAGCTTTCCAGTCGGCTCGCTCCTCTGGCCTGATTCACTTGGCCAAATGCTGGCATAGCTACCTCAGGCCTAAGACACAGCAGAAATGCTGTGTTTCCCCCATGTGGGGAGCGCTAAGCAGTGACCTGTCCGCGAAGGATGAGCCCAGTGGCTCACTGCACTGGACCACAGAAGGGAGCAGTGGGGCAATGGCAAGTGAGGCTTTGCTCACCACAGTTGCACAAGGCCCATGGAGAGGTGGGTGGCAGCATCGGTAGCTCCCCCGTTCCCTGCAGTAGCTGCCTTTGTCCAGCGGCCCCTTGGGACGGAAGAGTCTTCCCCTAGGTCCCTCATGAGCACGTGCTCTGGGGCCTGGACTTTGCCCCCTCGTGAGGAGGGTTAGTGTCACCGTCCGCGCCTGGCAGCTGCCATGGCTGGAGCCGGGAAGGAAGGCCAGTGCCCACGAAGGAGACTGCGTCCCAGCTCCCCTTCTGCACACTCATTTCCTACTTCTCTTCTCCAGCCTGACTGACTGCCCTGAGGTGTGCAGCAAACGGGTCATGGAGCTTTGCAGGCCACTGCAGTGAGGGGTTGGCCGCAGTGCATGCCAGGCTCTGTTTGTGCAAGGCTCTGTTTGTGAACAGATTCTGAGGGCCCAGTGAAGAGCGCGTGACTTTGTGCTCCGATCTGGGCAAATCAGGGCTAGCCCCAGTGGAGTTACACCAGCATAAAACCGGTAACATTGATCATAGGAGGGTCAGGCCTCGATGTTTTACCCTAAAGACACTCTCCTGCTCTCAGTCCCATGGGTGCAGCTCCCATTGACATGGGTGGGGCTTGCATCCATTTAGCTGAAAGCAGAATTTGGCACTGAGGGTCCAATCCTGCTCTCCCATCAGCGTAAGGCTGGAGTCAGGGGTGTCGCTCCAGATTTACCCAGCTGTAACCTGGCACTGAAATCTGATCATCTGATAGAGCCTGATTCACCGTTGGGCCCACTCTGGTTTCATGCCGTGGTCGCTGTTGAACCCAATGGATTTAATAGGACGGTGGAACCTGCATTGATTCGGGCCCTGTAAGCGAAAGTCGGTAGTACGCGCTGAGGCAGGGCTCTCTGCTGTACCACAACTTCAAATGTCCGTTTGCAGAGGATTCCTGTCCCCGTGTCTCGCCTGCTTGGAGGTGAAGAAGCAGAGCCCCCTACATTTCCCGGACCGCAGCTCCCCACTGAGACCGTGCTCCCGCAGCGTGTCGTACACCAGCACAGGGAGGTCCTCCCGTGGCTCCAGTCGCTCTGCCCACTCCCGCTCGTTGCGTCACAAGGCCACGCCCAGGTACTCCCGAAGCAGATCCTGCTCCTCAGGGAAAAGGTGAGGCCACGTCGCGTGGTTGTCTGTGTTATCGCTGGCCGTTCCATTTGTCGCAGTGCTTGGTAGTCCCAGGAATAGGCCAAAGAGCCTTGAAAATACAGCTTGGATTATGCTGAAATGACTGAGGGTACTGACAGTACCAACGATATTGCCTCTGAAGGGCAGTGGAGTTCCTGTTGGTGGATGGCGATCTTCAGGGCTCATTCCCTTACAGGTTGAATGAACATTTATCAGCGGCTGGGCTGACATCGTTAAACTTGGGACCTTATTGCCACTCGAATGCAGATTTGGAAAAGGAGCCTTGTGCCCCTTAAATCCTCTCACTTGAGCTCCGGTTTGATTCACCTTTCCATGGTTCTTGTCTATTCCCAGGTCCTATTCACGTTCCCCCAGCTACTCATCCAAGTCCTGCAAAAGAAGCCCTGGAAGCAGGAACTCCAGACTGCGTCGGAGCCCCAGTTATTCCCGCTACAGCCCTGGCAGGTACGACTGTCCCCAGTGTGTCATGGTGCCATTGCATGGCATCGCCTGCTTTTGTGGCACTTCAGTCTGGGTTTGTGACTAGAGTGCGTGTGTGACTCCCCTCCGTAAGCTTCTCTGCTGCACTTCCATGGCACTGTCCCAACCTTTACATGAAGTTGCGTGTGAGAGCCCCCGAGACACTGGGGATCTGGCTGTCTCACATTTTTACTAGCCCCTGGATCGAGGCATGTTTCGATCTGCACGTTCCAGCTCTCGTTGCTTATGGCATATCTCCATCCATGTTGTCAGCTGCTTTTGCTGACACTGATTCCAGAGCAACGAGAGGAACTGAAGGTGGCAAGACTCAGGGTCATCCAATGTGGATTTCTGCAACCGAGGCCTTCCCTCCTAGACTGCCCTCCGTTCCTTGGTTCACCCTGGGAACAGACAGTGGAAAGGTCCCCATTAAGCAGCTGTTGAAGGGGGTGATAGGGAGAGAGAGACTACTTATTCAGGGCTTTGAGGGACTAACCCCTTGTGCAATGTATGTGGAATTGGATGGGTAAGGCCTGGTGAGATGTGCTGTCTTCACTCTGAACCCTTTCAGAGAGCTAATCGGTCCAGTGCTGTGGCTCACCCCAGACACAAAGGGCCGGCACTCCACGCAGTCTGTGTCTCATGATACGTGGCAGGTTTGGCGATGCCAACCCACAGGCCTCTTGGAGGGCTTGAGCCATTGTCAGAGAAGGATTTTCTTGAAGCAGAAAAACACAAAATCTCCAATTTGCAGCATTTAGCAGCTGGGATTTTGAAGGGAACGCTGGGGCTCACTGAAATGCCCCTCAGTGTGTGGCGCAGAGATTGTCTGACTTGGTAAAGTGCCCTATTTAGAGAACAAGCCAGCAGCAGCACCAGCAGCCTCGCTAACAGCCACCTGCCCAGCCCCATTGTAGAAGGAATCAACGGTGGCTTTCTTACAAAAAGACTTGTTGCCATTTAGGCCTGTTGCTCACTTCTACTCTGCGTTCCCATATTTCAGACAGTGTGAGGTTAGCCTGGCTTAAAACAAGCTCTCCCTGATCATGTGAAAGGTTGCAGATTGCTTCAGTTAATAAAGGTGCTCTTAGTCATGGGCCTTCCTGGCCCAAATAACCTAGCAGAGAGCCACAGCAGCAGCTTGGCATTGGTCTAAAGGACTTATGCACGACCCACGCCAGGAATGCAGAAGCAGGATTGTCCAAGGGTAAGATAAAGGCCGATCATCCAGATTGAGCACTGGGGGTCAGTGCAGTTACCACAGGGAAGTGCTGATCCAGTACTTAAAACGTTTACTAGTGCTTTTTATCCCCCTGGGTTTCAGGGTGCCTTACGATTTATATAGATGGAAATTGCTCCACTGAAATGCAGCCAGCTCTGGGGTGGAAGGTGGCAGCTGAAGCACCACAATGGGAGGAGTGGAAATTTGGGGTAAGGACACTAGGGCAAACCCCTGCTCTCACGATGAGTGCCACACAATCGCTACCCGCCAGGCAGAGCAGACAGTAACTCAGCTCTCAAGGTCATGCAGCAAACGACATGGAATTCAAGCTGGATGAAGCTCAGGGGGTTGTTCTTTCAGGGCTTCAGGGTGTTATGGGAACCATTTCCTCAGCTTCACTGTATGTGGGTTCATACCCCAAGGTTTATTTTGTGCTTCTGGGGGGAATGTGTTCTCTCCGGTCCATCCATAGAGTCACCAATCCCTGTCAGGCAGAGTGACCTTCGTTTTGTAGCAAGGCTAAGGCAAGAAAGAACAAAAGTCAGGTCTCTATGAGAGAGAGCACTGTGGGTGTCTCCTGTGTACCTGGCTACCTCTGAGCACTAAATGGCAGCTGCCTCTGTAGCAGGGATGGGGCCTTTATCACCATTTAAAGGTGTGGGACCCAGAAAGCAAGTCAGACCGATGTCCCAGAGTTAATCCAGTTGTGCCAAGTGAAACTCAGTGAGGCTGCCCAGTTCCATCCTGTTGTATCATCAAAATACAGATTGTACAGTAAGGCCCTAAACAGGCTCAAATTGGGCTCGGGGTTGTGACTCTATTGATGAGGCCTGCCCAGTGTTTGGTGTGGGCCATGAAACCTTAACCCCGGCATGCAGGGCTTGTGTCAGTTCTATGGGGAACTTGGAGCCAGCCTGGCCAGGATTTGGTCCGGGGGCTCCCAGATGTTTCAAGCCGGTTGTTTAGCCACATAATGACTTCTCAGTAGGAAATCAGGGTAACTCTGGTGTCCCAGGCCTAGATCCGCTGCTGGCTCCTGAGAGATGCAACACAGAGGGGCCAGCCCAGGAGGAGGGAGCAGGCCCCACTCTGGCTCCAGGCTGCTACAGGGGAAGAAATGGCCCCGAATGGAAGGTGGAGCAGCCTCAGTTTACTGCAGCTTGACCTGGGCTGCCTGGTGGCTGCTCCATAGGTGCTGGAACTAAGGCTGTGGGGGGCACTGCAGCACCCCCAGGTTTTACATGGGGCTCCACTCCCGGCCCTGCGCCTAGGGGTCCCGGCTGCCGGCCCTGCACCCGGGGGTCCCACACGTGGGGCTCTGCACCTTCCCCCAGCTGTAGCCCCAGCCTCGGCCCCCTTATCCCTGTCTGCGTTCCCACCTCCCGGAGCCACGGCCCTGCTCCCGGCCCCAGCTCTAGTGGGGCACAGACAGGGGGAAGGGGCGCACAGCACCCCCACTCTGAAAAGTGTTCCAGCACCACTGGGCTGCTCTGCAGCTTGAGATCGTCTGCAGAGCCAAGTGCTGTGACTGGGTATGCACCAGCTCCAGGGCCTCCCCTGATCCTTAGCAGCCTCCATTCACTACCACGAGTGACATCCCAGAGCCAGCACAGCGGCCACGGTCTGTCCCCTGGTCAAATTCCTCCCACCCCAAGCTTCCGTTTCCTATGTTAAGGCCAGTTATTTTCAACACTGACAAAAGAGTAGCAAATCCGCAGGGCGATGGCAAATAAAGCAGATTAACACCTGCCCAGAAACCAATGTTAATGTAGACGATAGCTCTTAACCGATGAGTGCATTGGACCTGCCAAATACCCTGAGACTTTTGTGCTTTGAATACCTAGCAAAACACACTCGGGACCGAGGCACAGTCTGGTCTGCTAAATGTTTTTAGACCTTTGCTAGTAGGTTCTAATATCCACAGCAATTGGGGAGCTCATTATAACCATTCTGCATGCTTAAAAAGTCACTGTGTTCTCAGAAATAGCACACGCCCGCTGCACATGGCCAAGCCTCACATTGCTGCATCCAGACTGGCTAAATCTGGGAACGGCATGCACATCTAGCCAACTGTGCGTGCTGTTAAAAAGCACTCCCCAGCCCGTGCTTAGTGAGTGTCTGCATAACACGCTGGCTAAATGTCTTGTGCCTCCATCCATCAGTCAAGCCAGGCGGAGGACGCTGGCAGCTTTAGTTTTTTTTAGCCCAAATGATCGAGGCCGATGTTTGGGAGCTGAAGTTTCCAGGTTCTAGCCCCACTGCTGAGACCCTGCCTGCCACCCCCCAGTGAGTCTTTGCATCAGCACAGGGATCTTTGCAGTGATCTTTTCCAAACTGGCCATTCTTCAGGGACCGCGCGAGAGAGCACAAGTACAGCTCCAGCGAGAAGGAGTCCCAGCGGGACAGGCGGCGGCGGAGGTCCTACTCGCCCATGAGGAAACGCAGGAGAGATTCTCCCAGCCACCTGGAAGCTCGCCGCATCACGAGGTAAGGGAATGACACGGGGGCACCCTGTCCCTCCAGGAGACACACTGGAGAGCCACGGGCTCAGTTGTGACGTGCTGGCCAAGGTCTTTGGACAGCTTTAGTAGGGATCTGCTTTGAGTCCATCACGCCCAGAGACTCTGCCCTCCAAACACTCGAGGGAAAGCATTGTCCTGAAGTTTCCCTCCCTGCCTCCTATTGAGCCCCAGAGCCAGGAGCTCCCCCCCCCACCCACCACCCCTGGGGTCCCATTGTGTCACCAATAACCACTCTTCTCCCTTTGTCCCCACAGTGCCCGGAAACGCCCCATCCCGTACTACAGGCCCAGCCCTTCCTCCTCCAGCAGCCTCAGCAGCTGTTCCTCCTGGTACAGCAGTGTTAGCCGCTCTCCTGGCCGCAGCTACTCCAGCTACAAGACCAGCCGGAGCAGAAGCTGGAGCAGCAGCAGTGACAGGAGCCGGAGCCGGAGCCGGAGTTCGGGCCCAAGGAGCAGCCGCAGCAGGAGCAAGAGTTACGGCTCTGCGGACAGCTATGACAGCCTGCGGCGCTAGGGCATCCCCCTCCCTGCTGCGTGTGTCGGGGTCGTCTCTTTCAATTCCTCTCTCCTCCAGCCTCCCTGGTGATAGCTTATTATTTCATGTTTCTGTTGTGGCATCCACCAGCCCCCCCTGTTGTGCCGGGCGCTGCACCCGCAGAGGCAGACGTGGGCCTGGCTGCTCCAGAGAACACGTGGGCAGAGAGGGAGGATCTGTGCTTTGCAGAGGCTGTGTTGATTATAAACCAGCCTCCCCCACCCATTCCTGGCCTATCTCCAGGGAAGCATTTGCCTGCGGCTAATCCAGGGCGGGAGTTTAGCTTCTTGCTTTTCCCTGGCCAGCAGATAGCAAGCACCAATTGGCTGGTGGGGAGAGAGGAGGGAGAGAAATAATTTAAAAGAAACTCTCTTCAAGGCTTTTGGGCCGGGCAGAAAGAGTCCGGGTCTGGCCCTGCTTCTGTTGAGGTCAGTGGCAACGCTTCCCTTGACTCCAGCCTGCAGCCCCCCAAGCACTGCGATGTGGCCTCTCCCCTACAAAGGGAAAAAAACCAGAGGCTTCTGCAGTATCAATTCACCTTCATTGGAGGTGGCTTTCCCACTGTGCCCCTCCCGCGGGGAGGAATATTCAGTCGCCATGGGTCAGCCAATTCCTGCTGCGAATGTGAAGGAAGAAATTCTCCCGGGGAGTGGATTGTTCGGAAGGGGCCATTCCCTCGCCCCTCCTCTCCCCTCCCTTTTTATAGCACGAGTTTGCTTCTCTTCCCCCCAGCAATATGATCTGCTGGTGATCGAGCTGGTGAGGCCTTATGCGGAAGTGGGAACAATCAAGGGCTGGGTGCTGGGAGGCCAGGCCAACAATCGGGAAATGCGAGGGAGCAAAGTCCCTTGAGAAGCGTCAGGCAGCGCGTCTCCTGTGAGCCCTCAGCCCCAGAGCTCTCCAGGGCTCCCACTTTGGTGGCTGTTTTTCTCACAGGAGCTCTGTGCTGTGCAAAGGAATCCCCGGCAGGGAGGTGGGAGTGAGGTTCCGGGTCCTTTTGGGTACCGGGTCACATGGGCATGGGAAATTCCAATGAAGCATATTCGTACGTAGCCCTCAGGCAGGGGTGAAAGTAACTTAAACTCTTAAAGGACTTACCGGTATGCCGGAGTCCTGAGCAGGGGGCGGGGCCTCAACTGGAAGAGGCGGGGCCTTTAAATCCACGGGCCCTTTAAATTGAGGTTTAAAGGGTCCGGGGCTCCGGCTGCGGTAGCCCTGGGCCCTTTAAATCACCGCCATAGCAGTGGCTGCAGCGGTGGCCGGGAGCCCCGGGGCTCGGATGGCAATTTAAAGTGCCTGGGGCTTCCAACCGCCGCTACCCAGCAGAGTCCCGGGCCCTTTAAATCGCAGCCTGAGCCCCGGGGCTCCAGCAGCAGGGCTCCAGCGGCGGTTGAAAGGGCCCAGGGCTCTGGCTGCTGCTGGGAGCCTGAGGCCCTTTAAATGGCCTGCCTGGGGAAGCTCCCCCTGCCGGTACGGTCAGCTGTGTACCAGCTCTTGCTGGTATGCCGTGCCGTGCCGTACCGTACCGGCTTACTTTCACCTCTGCCCCCAGGAGCTCCAGTCATGGGCCCCATTGTGCCTGGTGCTGTACAAACACAGGAGGAAGGTCTCTGTCTGAAAGAGCTTATAGTTTGTGACCTCAACTCCTCCAGCCTTCCCTGCGCCCCCAAAGGTCAGCTCCCATGTAATACAATGCCTGGCCCAGAGCTGCTCAAACCACCAACACAAAGCAGTGACTGACAGCCCCCTGTCCCACAGGTGGCTGGTGTTGGCGCGGCAGCCCTAGGGCAGGAGAGGGGTGGCTTGTGGGATGGGGCAGGAGAGCACTGCTGCTGGGCCTTCGTTCCCCCCCCCACACACACACACGTGCTTTAACACAGCCAGCTGCCAGGGGGAACCCCTCTTCACAAAGCAGAGAGCGCAGGGTTAAAAACGGCCCAGCGACTGGGAACAAAATAACTAATCAATCCCCAACTGTCACCCAGGAGACAGCTGAGAAGAGTGGCTGCCCTGCTCCTAAATTCCTTACTCTGCGCACCAGAGCCCGACCCTTGTTGGAAATTCCTCTGAGAGATGTAGAGTGACAGGCACAGCGACCCATAGCTGAACATGCTGGCATCCCGGCCCTCCCTCCCCAGATGCATACCCCAAACATTGTAAGCAGGGGCACCAGGCCTCTAGGAAAGAATTAGCAGCCCCCGCACTTTTACCCACATGCAAGGCAACGGAACGTTTTCTAGGCCATGCGTTCGACGCCGCTCTAAGGAATTTGGTTTCAGTTCCAAGCAGAGGGTTACAACTTGCGCCCGGGGCTGGCTGGGGGAGAATGCATCCAAAGTAACCTTTCCCTGCCCTTTGCAGCCGTGCAGGAGGTAATGCAGAGCTGCTACACCTCCCCCCATCCTCCACGGAGATCTCTGAAGCAGCTGCTGCATGGAGCACTTTACTTTCTGGTCTAGTCAGACAAATACTCAGGTGGAGAGGGGGGCGAGCCCAAGGAGGAAGAAGCAGGATCTAGGAAAGAGGGTGTACCCATCAATTGCCCATTTCCTGACCAGCCCCGGGCACTTTTTTGGGAGGGCAGCGGTCGTCCTTCCAGACTCTGTGCCAGGCCTGCCTTTGTTTTCTCGTTGCAATGATTGCCAGCCCAGCCGCTGTGCAATTCCTGTGATTCGCTGCCTAACAAAGGCCTCTCGCAGGTGCAGGCTCAATTGGCATTGGAGAGTTTCTTTTTCTTGCAGCAGCTGGGTGCTTAGAGCAGCTAATTTGGGATTAAGACGTTTGTTCCCCCCCTTCCCTCCCCTCTCCCCACGCCACACAACTACTGTCCCAGTTAGTCCTAATGACACAAGGACGTACGGCCTCAAGTGTTCTGAGGGGCTGAGCAGAAAGTTGATCTGCCCCATTGCGGAGGAGACGGAAGACTGTACGTGTAAAGAGACGCACAGCCACCGGTTCAAGAGCTACCTGCACCCCTGAATCATGGAGTCATAAAGTGAACAGGCAAAGAAGTAACCTGAATGGGAGGTTTTTGCGTGCAGTAAATAGGGAGAGAGAGATGTGGCTCAACAGCCTTGTGCCCCTCACGGCTATTAGCCGCTGTTCTTTCCAGTGGTCCATATTTCCAGTAATATGCAGCCGTTGGGTGAGGGGAGGGAATTGCATATCTCCTTTTCTAGACGTTACACAGTCCCTCTGCCTTCAATGTTTTGCACCAAAATCTAACTTGGAAGGAATGAAGACCCTTGCTCCCCATGCCCAGCACGCTCTCCCAGTCTGATACTCAAGCACATCACACCTTTGTTTGAGCAGTAGGATGCAGCTGCAGTTATTGGAGGCCTAGAACATTTGACCGAGGTCTAACTCCACCACTGTTGCAAGAATAAACCCTGCATGCGTTGAATACCCAACCAGGTCTGGTGCAATTAGGTCAGGCAGTTCAAAGGAGGTGCAGAAAAGGGGTTTTGTAAAACTGGTGTAAATAGTAAAACATTGTGTTGACTTGACTTCCTTACTGATGGGGATCTACGAACAAAGCTCCATGTCCTGCACTCAGTCCATGTGGATGGGAGTAGCCTCCATGGACCAACGGTAAAGAGATGGCTCTTAGGAGCACGCTGAGCCTGCAGTGTCCTTCGCGTGGGCCTGCTGATCCACTCAACAAGGACTGCCTCTCATCATACTATCCCATGGCAGCTAAAACTCCTTAGGTTTCCCAATCAGACTTGTATTGGAGTAAACCTGTTAAATTATTTATTATTATTATTGTGATTATTATTCTATTTTTAATTCTATGTCAGACTGGATGCAATTGGTCACCGTTAACAGTATTTATTTATTATATTTTTGGAATGATAAGTTATTTTTGGATTTGTTTGTTTGTTTCAATATCTCCATGTCCCCTTGCAAGCGCAAAGGATAGCCTCAGAACTCTATGATTGCTTTGCGTTCAGGCCCAGTATTGACGTATGTGACTGTAGCTCGTGTTAAAGTGGGTGGTAAGGCAAAGCGGAATAAAGTCCACTTTATTGTGATAGAAGGATGGGGGTGAAAGGTTAACGGGCATCAGAAGGACACTCTGTGTAGTCTTTTCCCATTGAAAATTAGGATTCATCACAAACTCTTTATCCACCCTTCTCTGTGCTGGAGTACAATGGACATGAATGATGATGGGCACATGAATGGTGATGGATTCTATTTATGCACCACAAGTCTGTGATCTCACAGAGGATATGGCAAGAATCCTGCTGGTTAAATGGGAGAGGGGAGGGAAATTTGCAATCCTGCAAAGGGATATCACAGAACAGCTCTTTGCTAGAAGCATAGGTGCCAGTTGGCTGAAAGGCATATTTCCCTCCTCTCCTTGACTCAGAGCACAAAATGTAACCTGGCTTCTCTGAAGAAGAAACTCTGGTTCCCTCTGTGGTTGCCAGCCATAGGACTTTTGTATGTTGTTTGTTACCAAGGGATGATGTAGCTGTGGTAGATAAAAAAAACAACAGTATGGAAGAACCAGCAGTCCTGAAGATGTTTCCAAAACCGATCTCCAAGTGACAAAGCCCAGCCAAGTTATGGGGTAGGTTGGTTTTTTTCACTTATTGGTGGAGCTATTTTAATTTAACTTGATGAAATTTCCAGTACAGGCCAAAAGGCAGCCCTAATTATTGATTGACATTTGGGATTTCTGCAGGTTTTCAAAAACCCCTCCAGCTTTTCTGTCATTTGTGCCTTTTGCCAGATGCTTTTTTTTTAATGTTGTGTTGCTTGTTTGTTGCTTTTGAAGACTTTTTGCACCCTGACATCTCCGATTTCTGCCAAGGCGCTGCAAAAAAGCATCCTTCGGTTAGTGGAAACGCAACTCGGTTGTACATGGATCGTGGCTAATTTGAGGCTAGCCAGCTACTCCCGAGGGTGAGGGATTCTTGAGGACGTTTGGAACTCTTCAGATAGTTCTACAGGTTTCATGAAATAGTTAAACCTCCCTTCCTCTCTCTTGTTCCCATATCCCAATGAAGTTTGAAATGCTCCTACGTTCCTGAACCCATGGACCCCACGAGGTTGTCATTTGTAAAATGAAGTGTTCTAAATCATGTTGCTCTGGGTTCTGTTATTCCTAACTGTTCATTGTGCTCTTTTAATCGCTAATATCCCCCCCAAAAAAAAACAAACAAACAAACTGGAGTCCTCGTTGTCTTTCTGTCCTGACTCTCCAGATCCTATTTACGCCTCAGTACAGAACTCAGCTCTTCAGCTTCTGCGCTGAAGAGCAAGGAGTTGGAGCAGTGTTAAAGCTGCTCTCAGTGGGCTACCCACCTCAGGTCTTTTGCTTTACACTGGTTGTGATGGTTTAAATTTATTTTATTTGCAAGTTATACCAAACTATTGTCTGCAAGCAGCCGATCAATGTTATTTTGCTATGCATTGTACATATAGTGAAGAGGCTAAGAGGACTTAGCCTGTTATTTAATATTTATTTCTTCTATTTATTGAGCATTATTTAAAGATGATATTTGGGACCTGCCATTGGGGGCCTCACAGACTGGAGCCTGTAAATTTGGGGTGTTGCCATCTCCATTGGGTGTGGGGGCATTGTAAAAGAGGTGACTGATGAAACCATCGAATGAAATGGACTCTGTCAAAATGGAGGCTTCAGACAGACAAATTGGGTTCAGATTGAGCTAGAATGCCAGTAACTCATAGGGAAGCCTCATTTAGATGGAAACGAATAGCAGAGGGGAAAATTAATGAATAATTTAATTTCTGTTAAAGTCACAGCTCCTTGAAAAGGTATTTTAGGTATCTGGAAGCAACTGTTTAGCCTGTAATTTGAGGCACTAATAGGAAGATTAGACTGGCTCTTCTCCCTCCATGTTTTAATAGAGCTTCCTAGATTGTTGAATAGCCCCTGTATCTATCTGGACACTTCTACGGCCAACTTCACGTGAGCATCTGAGCACCTCCCAGCCATTCACGGATTTTATCCTCAGGAGGGAAGCAGTATCACTGTTTTACAGGTGGGGACCTGAGCACAGGGTAGGTTAAGTGACTTCCTCAAGGTCACCCAGGGCGTTAATGGAACCCAGCTGTCCCGATCCCAGTCCAAAGCACTGTCTATTAGAGCGCCCTTCCTCTTATTGTTCCCTGCTTTGACTCTCCCCACATGCTCCATATTGGAGCTGCTAACTTTCCATATTGGGGAGCGGGGTGGGAATCCTTTGCGGCCTTGACTGCAGTGGGTTTTTTAGCCAGCTGTGCAGCTGCACTCCTGCAAACCTCTAGTGTAGTCCATGTAAACCATGACGTGCCTCAGAGCAGCTTATCCTGGTTTGAAACCATGGGACATGCTAAACAGTGTGGCCCAGCTCTTTGGTGGATGTAAACCAGTGTAGCTCCAAAGTCAATAGCAGCCCTCCCATTAACTTCAGGGGGAACTGTTTGGCACTTTATGGCCAAGATTTTCAAAAATAGCTATTTAAAGTTAGACTCCTTTGGGCCAGATTTTAAAGGTATTTAGGTTTCTAACTCCTATGGAAGTGTGGCACCTAAATACCTTTAAAAATCTGGCCCATAGTGCATATTTGGGTATCAAAATAAGTGTCTTGATTTTCATAGGTGTTGAACCAACCATAGTTCCCGTTGACTTCATTCAGTGATGTCAGGTGCTTGGCCTTCCTGAAAATCAGGACACTTATTTAGGAGACGAAAAATATGGATTTAGGTGCCTAATTCAAGGCATTCAGGTTGGAATATTTTGACCCTAGTCCTCACTGTCCAGTAGATTTTATGGCTTCCATAACAGGAAATCAATAGGTCATATGACTTTTGTTGTGGCACAAAAATTTTCACGTGACAAAGAGAGAAGGTCATTGCTAAAAGTCCTGGAGCTTCACATATTACAATAAACCATTCAGTTTAGAAAGAAAAACAATGCATGGCTCCCTGACTAAGGGACAGGTGCCTTTCCTCCGGTGGCCTAGTCACTGATGAAGACCTCTCACTCTCAGATTTCTGGCACACCAAATCCAGCAGGAGCCAACAGAAGGGTCCACTGCTGTTGACCTGCAAGGTCTCTGGTGAGCAGTCCCCCAGATCCAACTGGCTTGGTGTTCTCAGGGCCCCAATGGCAGGTTCAGTGTCAAATACCATTAACCGAAAACGTTTAGAACAAAGCAAAGAAGGGAGGAGAGCCGTTCTGGGAATAGTATGTCTCCATCACTCTTCTCTGTTGGTCGACCACTACCAAATTATACAGACGCATCTGATCCTTTTATGTCATTGTAGAGCTACCTTTGATCTCCACTGGAAAGCATACTGTGGTCTTTAGTCTTCCTGAGGTATTTAATTTGTTAGCTTGGTTCAAAGAAATAACAAGCATTCAAATAAAGGTTCTGACAGTATTAGTTCTTGTTACGAACTCGTCTTCTGTGTTCCTTTCACGTACACTGAAGGAGGATTTTAGTGGAGTAAGAGATCTGGGGTAGCAAATGGGAGTGTTTCCATTGACTTCACTTGGCCTTGGCCTGGGCCCTTCGAGCACTGGCAGAAGCAAGAGCAAAGCATGGGCAAGCGTTTTTGCAAGCTTCCCCTTCACAGCTTAGGCCCCTCACTGCTCCTCCTATTCCCCTCCTGGGCCCCATCACAGCTCTGCCAATGCTGCTCCTGACCAGCAATGCACCCACTATTCCCGTAGTGGCACCACGGAGCTCTGCTGGCTGCTCCACAGATCTGACTTGGAATACTCCTGCTTTGCCCAAAGGCTTTATTGATCCTGATATGCCGTGATCCTAATGTCCCTCCAAGTCTAATGTGAAATACTTGGCAGCCTTCCATGCTCCCTCCACCTGCTGTGTTTGCAGGGGCTTACGGGGGAAATTCTCACCACCCAGCACAATGGAGTACGCAGGCTACTTCCATTAGCAGTAATGGGGGTTACATGCTTAATTGCTGTGCAGTACAAGGAGCCTCTCCTCTTATCCTATTACAGAACAAATATTTGTTGTTTGGAGACCCAGGAGCAGCCATACCCTGTAGCTAAATAAAAAAAAGATCATAGCTATTTACAAGGCACCTATCGTCTTGGTACGGTCCTGGAGCTGTAGAATCCCACATCTAATAGGAAAGGAACATCTGCCGGTCACTGGAATCCATTCTCCAAGCCAGGATCCTGCAGAACAGGGCGGTCTTGTGCCGATGTTCTGTGTTACGCTGCAATGTCACGATGAACATTGGTGGCATGTTGCAACCTAGACCATGCAAACTCACCAGCCGGATGTGTTGTGGCATCAATACTTTCTCCAGCAAGATCAATGCGATTAGGTCGTCAGCCTAGCCATGAGCGTGCCTCCCCGTGCGTCGAGTTAATGCTCCTCCAATATAAGTCTTGTAGGCTGCTGCTGAATACAAGACACTCCCTCCTCCCCTGCAGCTGAAGGGATGGAAGAGCTGCCTCTGCAGTGGACTCCTCTCCTAGCAGCCCAGGGACTCAAAGCCCATGAACAGGAAACAAACTGGGATGTCCTGCTCTGGACTGGATGGGAGCCTTGTGGGCGAGTGGCTAGAGCTGCAGACAGGGTGGTGGGTTCTAGTCCCTACTCTTCATGGGTCCTTAGCCAAACACTTCAAACGTGGGTGCCTCAAATTAAGGCCCTAAGTAAGTGACCCGACTCCTGTGGCCGCTGAGAGAGCTCAGCACCCCGCTAGGCTGGACCCGCAGCAGTATTTCTCCTGCCCAATAAGCTAAGGTGGGATCTAGGAATTCTCCTTCCCAAATGTGACTGGCAAGGGCTGTTTTTTCCCCTGCTGCTTGTGGCCATTGTGCTTTCTGCCTGAAGGCTTCTCCTGGCCTGGGAAGTGCTTTTTATTGCTTGGTGCCTGCCTGGCGGTTGTGCCCAGCCATCTGCACAGGGCTCCTCCACCTGCAGCCAGCCAGCTCCGCATTATTCGCCAGAGCTGTGCCCAGCCAGCAGTGGCTTCGCCTGCCCTTGATTTAATGCCTCAGCAAATATCATCTTGGCAAAAGCTGGGTGCAGCAAAACTGAATGCAAGTGGCAGAAACACAGGGCGCAGAGCCCCACCCCAGTGGTACAGGAGAAGCAGGCAGAAATTCGTAACACAAGCCAGGCAGAGCTGGTAACAGAGGCTGGAACTGAATGGATCTTCAGCCCCTCCCAGACTGAGGTTAATAAACATCAGGTGCCTTGGGATTAACGTTATTGCCCTGAATAAACGTCAGCACGACTGAGCAATGTTTAATGACTCGAGGTCTCCTCTTGCCGGCCCCACAGTTGCAGAGCAGTGTGTGCTGTGTACCCAGAGCAGGGCTGGGTAAGATGAGGGAGCAGAACTTCAAGCCAGAGGCACCTCTTGGTTTGCAGGGCTGCCCCACCCGCACCACCAGAAACGGGGAGAGGCAGTGAGCTGGGCCAGTCAGCTGGGCAGGGGGCCAGTCAGCTGGGCAGGGGCCCAGCATCTCTGAGGGTGAAGGAGCTTGGCTTCCCCACACTCCTAGCAGAAGTCAGCAGAGCACCCCAGCTTTATCCAGGTGTGAGTGGGAGGGAAGCGGTTGGAGGGGTGGAGCAGATCCATAAAGCAGGTCCTGCTTTACAGCAACGATTCTGCGGATGCAACGCAGCTGGAGCCTCCGGGGAGAAAGCACTGGGAGGCCGGGCCCTGAGAAAGGGGCTGGGGGCAGAGGCGGGGAGGACGTAGTCCAGGGAAGCAGAACGTCGCACCTTAGCACAGGGCCCCTAGGCTGGAACCCAGAGTAGAGGATGGGGCCTGGGTTCCCTACTGGATGCCAGATGGGGATATAAAAGCCCCTCTGACACAAGGCCTGTTGGGCCCAGATTTGGGCTGAAGCCCTGGCATAAGGGTGTAAGGCAGGGAGCTACAATGGGAGGAGACCTTTCTGTGGAGACTCCCACATCGGGTGGATTTTTGCCCTAAGCACTGAGATCACCCAAGGATGGAGGGAGTCTAGATTCCATTCTTCTTGGGGCTACTGAGACTGGGCATTTAGGGCAGGGAGCAGAGCTGGGCAGCACTCCAAGCATGACGTGTGTGAACCAGGTGAGGCCCTTACACTCCCTCATCCCCAAGGCAGAGGGCTTAACCCAAGCTCCAGTGACAGCTGCTGCGTGTAAGGCCCAGCAGCCCTCGAACCCAGAGTTGCCAGGCAGGGGCAGCTGTAACCAGTTTGTGCTCTACTACCCACAACCTGCTGTGGACACAGACCATGGGAAGTCCTGCCTCAAAGGGTCTGACAGGCAGCAGCCTTATGGCTCCCGATTGGCTCCCCGTCCTATATAAACCCAAGGGATGGGTCAGGAAGCGTCCAGGTAACAGAGCTGTAGCCGCCATGACCCTTTCTGCTCCGGCTCTGCACTTGGATGGATTTGGACTTCGCCTCTTGATCTGAGCCCTGAAACCTGACTTGGATTCTGAGCCCTGGTCTCGACCCTGGCCTGGAACCTGCCTTACACACTCCTCGGCTACTCCCAGCCTCAGGTGTGACCCTGCTCTGACCCTTGGTCCTATCTGCCTTGACACTGAGCTTCATTAGCAACATCCCCTCCAACCAAGTGCCTTCTGCCTCTGATGGCTGAGTTAGGTACTGCCCTGACCCTCCAAGGTACGGGCAGATTATGCTCCCAGCAGGGTCAGACCCACAGAGAGCTCTCCCAGATTCTTCTGCTCTGGCGCTGAGCTGTACGGCCGCTGGTTTAATGGGCACTGCCCTGGGATGTCTGGATCCTGGATGGCTCAGCCAGCAAGAAGGGCAGCCACGGTTGTGGATTTACTGCAGCCCTGGCACACTGCCAGTAGGTAGCTACTGACCACCATTAAGTACAACGATGCCTTACAGTGAAAAGAAGTGAGGAAAGAATAGAGAGAACTAACCACACAACCCCCGGGCCCCGCCCCGAAACTTCAGGGTCTGTAACTGAATCCAAGCGTCACTGCTGGGCCATCTCTATGGAATGGGCTGCACCCAAACACCCCTGAACTCGGGAACGTTTGAATCGGGATCCGGATCTGAACTCCACCGCGCAAGCACCTGCCTAGAAATGAATCCATTTCCCACCGATTACTGGGAGCAGGCTGTGACGGGGCTGATATCAAAGGGCTGTAATTCCAGTAAGCTCTTGATAAAGGAAACAGGGACCAGGGTAAAAAAGGGCAGAACTAGCCCCACGGGGGATTGGTGCTGGTTGGGGGCAGACAGTAAGGTTGAGGTGTTGAGTGTGAGGCCAGTCAAAAGGCAGAGATCTCAAAGGTCAGCAGTTCGGAGAGGGCAGGACTCATCCATGGGGTGTGTCAATGTCCATGACCTCATCTCTCCAGGATGTTCTGTCAGGACCAGACCCTGCCCCTCAGTCCCAGGCTGGGGCAGGGACAGTCTGGCCAATAACCCAAGGGCTGGTCAGCATTGGTACCCCATGAGAGACCCTGCTTCTCCCGCTCCACCAGGCCTTTCCCAGTCGTAGGGACCGGTCGCTATTGGAGATGGGCCTGGGGCACAAAACGCTGATCCCAGGCTGGATTTCGACACTTTCCCCAAAGATTGGGGTGTTGGGATCCAGGGTTTGGTCTTGGGTCCATCTTTAACAAAACCAGAGATGCCGAAAGCACAGGGGACAGGGCCTGCCAGCCAAGCACATCATCTCCCAGTGGGTATGTGCAAGGAGTCTCCAGAGGATGGTTGCCAGCTCTCTCGTTCTCCTGGGCGCACACAAGGGGGCTTTAACTGCTCCCAGAGTTCCCAGGGGCTGACGGTGGTATTAGCAGTGAGGCAGATCTGGTGACTGAGATGCGGTGCCTGGAGAAGCAATACGAGCTAGCGGGAGGGACTACAGCAGCTAAATCTAGATAACCTGGAAGAGGCAGGAGCTGGTGGCGGGAGGGGAACCATGATTCATGTAGATCAATAACTACCACGAAGAGGGACTATGCCTGGCCTGGGAGGAGGGTGCAAGAAGGAGCAAGGGCTGAGGAGGCAAATGGTGATCTGAGGCATTATCTGAACTCTCCCTGTTAGTACAAGGAGAGCAACCAGTGAGCTACACGAGCAAGGGAGGCCAACATTGGAGAGCAGGTGAGAATCCAGTGACGTCCAGCCACCAGAGAAGATGCCCCTATCCCATCAATCGTCAGACAGTCTCTCTCCCTTCTCTAGTACCATTTATGTTTTATCTTCTCTTGACCCCATTTCTACACTGCCTTTCTCTTTCTCTCTTTCCCTCTCACCTCATTGATGCATCTATCCCTGACCTATAGGTATGGAAAGAAACAACCATCCTGGCTCAAGGCTTTTTTTAAAATATTTGCAAAAGCTCTTGGGAAAGATTTGCCAAAGTGCTCTCTTGTTCTCCTAGGGAACTGTTGGTTCTCAGCTCTTTTTGAAAATTGGG